AGCTCCTGTTTGACTACTTTAACTAATATTACTAAATAATAATCTTCTATGTGGGGCCATTTTCTTTGATTTTAGGAAAGCATTTGACCTGATAAATCATAAGCTGTTACTACAAAAATTGCAATTGTATCAATTGTCTAAGAAATCTATAATGTTTCTCAATTCATACCTGCTTGATAGACAACAAAGGACCTTTGTAAATGGTAATTTGTCTTCTTGTAAACCAATAGTTCATGGCGTACCACAAGGTTCAGTCTTGGGTCCTTTATTATTTAATATTTTTATAAATGATTTACCTCTGTATTTAAATTCTAAATGTGATCTTTTTCCTGATGATACAACCATTTATACTAGGGCAAAAACTGTTCCTGACCTTCAAAACAATCTTCAAATTGATACTGATACGGTGATGAATTGGTGTAGACATAATAGCATGATAGTTAATGAGGTCAAAACAAAATCCATGTTAATTACAACTAGACAGAAGCATAAATATTTATCGTCTGAACTTAGTATTAAAATCAATGACTCCGTCATCGAAATTGTTCCTAGGTTCAAACTTTTGGGAATTATTTTAGACCACCATTTACAGTGGACCGACCATGTACATTATGTAATTAAAATTGTGAATCAAAAGATTTTCCAATCGGTCTCTATTCTACAAAGCATATATACAAACCTATCTAGATTATTGTTCACCAGTTTGGGATCAGGGTGACTCCACTGCTTTGAGTACACTCATTCGTCAACAAAACAAAGCCTTTAAATTGATTCTAGGTATAGAACATACAAAAGATTTGGCTCCAGGCCTTGCCCTAATCAAACTCTTAAATATTAAACAGCGTCACTTAGTGAACAAATATGCATTTATTTACAAAATTATTTATCAACAATGCCCTTCGTGTTTAACCAACATCCCCTGCTACTACGATACTCCATACTCTAATATCAATAACAAAATTGTTATTCTTCGGCCAAATCTATCTGTTGTTAAAAACAGTATTAGATTTACTGGTGCCCATTTATGGAATTCATTACCTGACTGTTTAAAATATAGTAAATCATATTATTTATTTCGAAGGCGATTATTTAAATTTGTAACTACGTAGAGACCTAGTATAGTCTTCTTTGTAGTAGTACTTATATACATTGGGAGCGGTCGGAAGAAATATATTATGGTCATTTCCATTAATTAATTTGTTCTATTTACATGTACCATAAGCATAGTATTAGATGATAAATATATGATTCGTGTGTGACAACTTTATTATATTGTGATTGTAATTAATATTTTCAATTGTGATTTTGTTAATATTCTTTTGTAAATATTGCTCTTCTGTTTTCAAATTTGCATTGTAACTTCTTTAACTTCTGTTATAAAGGGCAAAATGTAAGACGGCTCCTGGCCTAATTTTCAACCCTTTGAAAATAAAGTTATTATTATTATTATTATAATTATTATTATTATTATACCTTGGACTGTATCTAAACATCGAAACGTGACATATTTACTATAACACTACTATAATTTAACTTATGTTTTTTTTTAGTTTCTAATTTCTGGAACATTACTTGTCAGCAGACCTTGTGATAATCCAGACTGCAGATCTATTAAGAGTGTAATAGCCTACATCTTAAACAGAACGGTTGACGATAACTTGTCCATTTAAAAGAGCTAAATCGCAAATATTTGGGACCTACAAATTGACACAAATGGGTCGCAACGTATAATATAATAATATAATATGAATGTAAATAAACTGATTTCCATTCAATCGTTTCCGTTTTTACCCTATTTTCAAAGCAGTTAAGTTCGGCTAAATACGCCAGAAGTCTCAATCGAATGGCAATCTCTAGCGTCTGGTTAATCCAGTCTACACCGATAGTATTTATTGCGCATGCTCTCCAGATAAGAATATGAGGTCACCGTTTGACATGACTTGTGGAACGTGTCTAACCTCGTTCTTCGACTCGCTTATTACAAATTGCGCTGAAACGCATTATGGTACACGATTCGTGTACCAATCGTAAAATGTTTATTTTGTCTTAAATATTGGATATTAGAAGTCCATCATTGTCGAAGGTTTTGGATGATATTGAGTTAGAGACTTAGCTACTTTAAATTAGCATTGAGTAAAAGGTGCTAGACCTGTATGATTTCAGTCAAAATAAATTACTGAATTGGGTTGATATATTGGGTTATTTCCATTATTTTTGGCAAAAACCTATGCGATTACATTGTTGTTTCGAAAGATTAAAGTTTTTTGTCTTTGTGTGTCGGTTATATCTCAACCCCGGTTTAAACTATCGACATGAAAACATAATATTGCCATCCTACAAAACAATCTGATTACAGTACAGATTTTTTATTTCGTTTCGTTCTTTTATACTATCGATGGCCTCCACAACTGAAAGCTCTGACCGATTGTACTGGGATGTCCTGTCATAGGGCCCATGAAGTCAGTAATTTGGTTACCAATCGACACTGGTGTTCCATGCGGCTATTCTGATATACAACTTTAAATTTGTTTTTTTTTATCCCTGCGAATGTCACCCATCAGAACTCGACTCAACAGACCACTTGATTAGCAAATCCCTCACTTGTTATTTAGCAACTCTTCTATAAAAATACGAAACGAAACAGGGTCTGTGTTTTAAACATATTGTTCTAGGACACATATGCCAATGAAATCAGCAATATTATTTTTGTCCCAAATCAAAGAGGTCCACTAATTTTAAGGTAAATTCTACACAAGGTTTGTATACACTGCGATGTGACCAACTATTCAAATCATGGCAAATCAAAAAGGGTTTTAAACTGGGCAGCAAAGATTTAAAAAAAAAAACGTCAATGTCTCTTTAACGACAACCTGTGCACAACTGATAATGGAAAACGAAAAACAGAAATTGGAATGGCTGGGTGTAATCTCTGTAGACTATTCATTTAATATAAAAAGATACATCTTAACAGTATTAGCCTGAATAATTGATGATTGCTTGGGAATAATATTTAAATAAATATAGTTGATGATTAAAAACATAATATCTTGCGTGCTATGCGTGGGGAACAGCTTTCAAATTGATTCGGATAAACATAGCGTATGTGTGTAGCTGCACTACTTCATTTGCTCATAACGAATATTTGCCAGTTGAAGACATGCAAGAAATTTCTTTATCTTATTTGATATGAGCTTGCTAATCACTTTCAGTCTATAATTATCTTTTTTCTGGCCGAATCCCCTTCTGTTTCTTGTATGATAATATACTGAGATCATACTGTATTGGCAAGTGAGACGTTAACAGACTCACTCGATCGAGATCTTTCCATTTTTCCTGTCATTATTCATTAGTCTGAAAACATAGATACTAACATAATTATCATAGTATCAATCAGCAATGTTGTCACCACACTTATCATAGGTAGTGGTATCGATCTCGTCGCTTGTACTGTTATCAGCAATTTCACATAGCCGTATCATGTCGAATTAACGATGTTACCAATGTCAGACAATCGAGTAGTTATTGAATTGAACGAATTAATGTGTTATACTGTTTCTACTTGACAATCTTCTTACATCAATTAAAGCTGCATTATCACTCCTAACAAGAAAGTTAGTGTACTCAACTTTGAATAATATTCTCTTCAAAATCGCCTTGATCTCACGCACTTATCGATAATCCATGGGTTGCACGGTCAAATCCGGTCAAATTGAAACTGTTTTTCCAACCGCCAAAAAGCTGCAGCAATAAATATTTTTCTGATAACGACATGAAATAGATATAACCGATGTGACCACAACCATCGATTTCACCCCTCCGCAAGAAGTAAAATTGGCCATCCCCAGAAAGTATTTTTGTTGTCAAACTTTTTTGATATTCTGTAATTTCAGTCATGATGTGTGTTCCGGGAATATGCAATCTGATTAAAGCACAGATCCTATTTCGTTTCGTTTTTTACAGTTCAAAATTTCGATTTACTACACTTGGACCTGGTTGATGTGACGGATTAGCCATTGACAATATTACAGCCACATAGACACATACAGACATCGATAATGGCATTGATATGAACAACGATACAAACATCAGTTGTGATTATAGTTTGTGAGCTATCGCGATGTTTAATATAACAAGTATAAAACATATCAAAACGTTAAACTGCTATCTAGCTATCCCATTCACTCACTTTGTTCGTTTGACACATCTCTCTCTATTCGGATTGGCGCCAGACTGTATCTGGTCAGCTTTATTTATCTCGACGACCAATGTCTAAAATATTGTTTGGCTGCATTTCCGAGGAGACCCCCCTCCCCCATTACCCCTATTTGAAGCTTGCGCCGTGGACTTTGCGACAGCTTGGCCCCTCCGACCACGGTCGGCTAGAGGCGCCACTGACTGGCTCACAGTACAGGTTGTTTGCGAAATGATCGCTATATCCGCAGTAACGACAGCATTTCAATATAATTTTCAATTCTAGAATTGGTACTTGCATCTACAGTGACTGTCTTCAAGGTTATTTTCTATTGGGCATATATGTATCTACATTCAATCTAAGATAGATGGCCTGGGGGGTTGGATGACCGAATGGTTAGCATGTGCGCGCTGTATCACACGGCCTGTCACTGAGTCAACTGGCGTGGTTTCGAATATCCGGTTGTGCGTGACAAGGAGTAGGGTCGCCTGTCCAACCTCGTGTGTTTTCTCCGAGTCCTCCGGTTTCCTCCCACTGCTAAAGACACCTACGCGCAAGCGGATTATTGAAATAAAATTAAACCATATGTTGGTCCCGAAATGACCTAGTTTGTGTCGAGTGGACGTTAAAGCCCCCCTCTCTCTCTCTCTCTCTCTCTCTCTCTCTCTCAGATGGCCTTGAGCAATTTACCTTGTTACGTTTTTATGGGTAAATACACCTTCAAAGTGGGTTGGCGTAAAGCCCAAACTAATAGCCTTGCAGAAAAGAGAGAACTGTTGAATAACTTATACAGATATAGATAAACTCAGTGAGAGTGCAGTATAGTGTTTCACGGTACAGAATGAGTGTATAGGTGAGGAATGATAACGGTTTACTGTTTAGACAATTGATTGATGTGTAACACTTATTGGAAGAATTGGATATAAATTTTCGAATCGGAACAAAAAGTACTAGAAATTAAATTTAAAAAATACCTTTGAAAAAAGTGGATAAAATGATTACGACATAAGTCATGTAATACGCTTTATGTGGTTTATAAGAAAGAATACTGAAATTTCTTAAAAGTTAAAATGGCGAGTTTTGATGACGAAAATGATTGCATGGTGGAAACCAATGCACAATCTACAAATGATACCATTCGGAATGGAATTGAAGACCATGGGCTTGTGGCAAAGAGTGAGGAATTGGATGCAGATAATATAAAAGACAAGGATTCTCCAATGAACGTCACAATGCTCTCGCATACTGAAACAAAGAAGGAAATTCTCGTAATAAAAAAAGAATTAGAAAAGAAGAAACTGAAGTTAATGGATGATATTGATCGACTGGAGACACAGAGACTAACTTTACTAGAATCATCGTCGCTGACCCATGGTCAAATATTGAAACAACAGCAGTTGATGGTATTTACTATTAAAGACGTGTGTAAAGACAAGTGTGGACTGGTACAGAAACATTACGAAGATGAAATCTTCAAGCTTGATAAATACACGAAGGAAATGGCTGAACAGAATGCTGAAGTAGAAGACGTCATTAATTACATATCCGAAGCGATTGATGAGGCGAAGGCGGATTTTCTTGGAGATGCTCTTATGGCTGTGAAATTAAAAACTGAAAATGGCATATCCCACGAGACGACTCCACCGAAATTAGTGTACACCGAATTTAAAGAGGGTGAAATAAAAAATGAGGTTTTGTCCACGATGATAGGCTCCATGAATGTGTCAGGCCTGACCGAAGATACACAGAATATTATAGTGAGCAAGTTTATGGAAGGTACTATGGCTAGTGTTCCCAACAGATTGATGAACCGGACGAGAGGCTATTCTGTAGAATCATCCAGCACCCAAATTAGCAGTGGTGATTTGTCTGAACAGATCAGTGTGGCTACCCAGACCGATGGCGAAGGCGAGCAGGGTAGTCTAGGGATTTCTGAAGGCTCGATTGTATTTACAGTCAACGTTGATGATTTGGAGAATAGTTTAGATCGCTGTATGGAAAGTACTCCTATTAACGTAAAAGGCCTGTCATGGCGTCTAGTTGTATATAAACATTGGAGGGATCAGCTTCAATTACGCCTCTATTATAAGAACTTGGAATTTATCGAGAAGAGTGTCGAGTACGTGGAATATGGATATACTTGTAAATTAGTGAATCATCAAAAAGAAACATGGTCTATCTGTAAAAAGGAGTCTCACAAAATAGGTCGCGATGCATGGTGGGATAGTGTTATCAGTTGGTCTCGTTTAGAAAACCCAGCAAATGGTTATGTGAATAACAAATGGATTACCGTGGAAGCTAAAATTACTGTGGAGGATGTCAAGTTTTATTAAATTTATTGTGGATTCCCCCGTTAGGACGTTAAACCCCATTTCATTTCTTGTAACAGGATTATAAACAACTTGTTCGTGGATTTTTTTTTTTACCGGTTCAAAACATAGTGTTGTTGCTGGTTTGGATTTATTTGGTTCAAAACATTTCAGTAATTGTGGTGTTTTATCATACAGGAACCCGAATTGTTCGTCCGGATTTCTAAGTATCGATTTGAAATTATTTCATTTCTATCAATTTCAGAGTAATATCCGGATTTTTTTACGATTCTGAAGACGTTCTGTGTTATATTAATAACAATGTTTTAATTATTATTTATTGTATTCGTCCCAGGACATGCGTATGGACATACTGATGTGGTTGATTTCTTTTAAACTGTACAATTATAATTTGTTCTTAATAAAACGGACTGTTTAATCCGTAAATGTATCTAATTCAGTTCGAAACCGGGTACAAAGTAGACCTGTCATCAAATCTAATTTTAGCTCCTACGAATATAACAGGTAACTTTTGTTTTATAATCAATTATTACTAAATAACACTGTGATGTGCGGGGCCACAACGAATGAACGATTTTTCAAAATATCAAGAAATTGTAAGCCGACCCATAGCGATATTCATTATAGCGTATTGTTGTGGTATTGTTAAAGGGTTCCCAAAGGTAATCCCATTTGTTTAGCTGAGTAAATCTCTCATCTTTTTACATGGCCTCCCCGCATCTGAAGCAAGGCGGTGGGGGGGGGGGGTCTAAAAATGCGCTGTGGATCATAAGGTCTGTCATTGAGTCAAGTGGCGTGGTTTCGATTCCCACCATGTATGTGACCTCGTGGGGTCTTGCTCCATTTCTGGTAGAAAAATGTAGTCGTGCAAAGTTATGAGTAATTGCCATTAAACTCAATGGGATAAATCTATGATGATCTGTGATGACGACTCCCTACCAAATATTGAAAGGAATTAATATATGTAGAATAAGGTCACATATTTGTTTCTATATCCTAGTTTGCATCTTTTGGGTTTTTTTTACGAAACATTATCCTACGATATCCAATACACTTTGTTTAATCTATTATATCTAGCATTCCATCTAGTTTGTTTGGCTTAATGCCTAGTTACACGTTTCAATGTCTCTATGTTGTAACGACTTCTGTAGAACAGTATAGTCTACTAAATAACATAAACAATTATAAATGGAGTGAGTTATTAATAGATTTAACAACCTGCTGCGGATCGTCCGATATGCAATAATGAATAATATTGCTCAAAGTGTAATTAAAATCAATAAGGTTTAACGTTTACTTGTTTTTCTGCCACATACACAGCTGAGTACACAAGTATATTACTAAACTTTAGACAATATTATTTTATGTAGGTCGTGTGTGCGTAATGCCTTGGCAAACTACCAAGAAAACAAATAAAATAAAATGCAGTTAAATTTGAATAATACCTAATTATATCAAATCCAAGCACTAATATACAGGGAGTACGGTGACTTTCGTTAAACGCCTTCAAATCCGTAAATTTAAAACAAGTATATCTCCCGCTTTGATAGCTCGGAAATTTTTTTCACGCCATCCAATATGAACATGTCCGATAAAACTGAAGAAACAAATCACGGCAAATCATTGGTTAAATGAAATGAAATGGGGCTTAACAGGCGCAAATCCGCCCCCCCCCCACCACCACCACCACCACCACCACCACCACCTTCTACTCCGAACTGGGCTAATGAAGACAGGCATACGCCATACAGTGTGCTAAAAGGGATCTTTTACGTGCACGCCAATGTGTACACGAGACCTCAGCTTTTTGTCCCATACGAGCGACTAGACAGCTGTCCTTGTCTGGCTCTCCGTCTTACATCACTGACAAGGGAGCACCACACCGGAAAATCTGGATGAACTTTCTCGGCCAATGCAGGGAACGAACACCCGACCTCCAGGCTAGCGAGCCAGTGTCTTATCCACTTAACCACCGTGATCACCGCCGTTGGTTAATGACGTGTAGGCTGGGTGTGTAGACAGTGTTGGAACCAGACAACGCTTCTGGTGATCGACTGAATGTGGCTGGTATTTCTCTGATTTCTTTTCCGATTAGGGTGTGTTAACAGTCAACCTGTGCGTATATCAGCGTATTTCAATTCTGTCATATTTTTATGAAATCATCTTACGTTTGGATATGACGTGTAGAATATCTTGTTTTAGGGTTATTTACCTCCCTTATATTATGCCCTCTGGCTGAAAAAGTTCGTACATGATAACATAAAAGACCAGATAATGAGGTCAATAAATTAGAAATTCTCAAATGTTGACAACCCATACAGACCAATATTCGTATAATATTTTGTCTGAATTATTGAGAGTAACCTTCATCACACTTCGGTAAATGTTTCCTTGGTATATCACGTCTTTGCATGAAAGCAACTAAACTCTCTTGATTACAGATATCACACTATGATAACTATATGCAGTATTAACATTTTGTTTATTTGTCAAAACAACGTTGAAAATATGAAGATGCATTAATCGAAACCTTAAAGTGTAGTTAATAAATAGTAAATTATTTACATACAAGGTTGGATAAAACTTAGCTTAATTGTAACGTAATACAAATTGCTATATTATGAGGAAATTGACATAGATATCACAAAATATAAAAAGAGCTTCGATTTTGTTGATAAGCAATATTATAGGAATAGTTTAACACAATACTTCCGTCATTTTGAGACATGTGCAGAATTAAGGAGGAGAATTCTGCCTGTGTAGCGGAGGTTTCGCCTAATTTTCATCGAATTCAAACTATCAAGGGTTCGTTTAAGTGCACCCCAGTGTGTTCTCCTAACATCCGAATGAATACATTACACTTTCTTTGTCAGCTACACAGGCGATACCGCTGACAATAATTGAGAACGGACCCAAGCCGTGACTCAAACCCTCAAACGAGAACGCGAATGGGTGAAGTCGTCGTCGTCGTTCTCGGAAGACGTAGCGCACTTTCACGGTTCAGAAAAAAAACCGCATACTTGACAAATCGCGATAGTCAGTTCATCGTGATAGAGCAAAAAGTGCACTGTTACACAGTGTCGATTAGTACTATCATTTCGCTTTTATTCGACCAAACAGTGCCTTACAACGGTTGGTATATTTGAAAGGGGCGTGTTTCGGTGTAATTATGAACAGTGCCGGACTGGGCCCACCTGTCCGTGAGCTAAGCTCATTAAAAAAAAGTGGGCCTCAGCCTATAAAGAAAAAAGAAAAAAGAGAAAGAAAAAAGAAAAGAGAAAGAAAGGAGAGGGTAAGGAAAGAAAAGAAAGAAGGAAGGAGTGGACAAGACACAGGACAGGAATTTGCCTTCTTCTGCCTTGGTCTGAAATGCTTGGAAAATGGGTTTGCGGTTGTCAATTTTCGAAAAGCCCCCCTCGGACGCGTACTTGTGTGGGCCTTTGTCAATGACCTGACAGGTGGCTCTTCGGACCACCAGTCCGGCATTGATTATGAAAAAGATTGTCTAAAATAGAATTAACCCACCACGGAATTCACTTACGGCTTCAGAGAGTCCAAGACTCTTACCCGGGACAGTTCGTCTGCCGCCGTGGGGGGAGCCACGGTGGCTAGGTGGTTAAGACGCTGGCTCGCTAGCCTGGAGGTCGGGTGTTCGATCCCTGCATTGGCCGAGAAAGTTCATCTGGATTTTCCGACGTGGTTTCGCCTTGTCAGTGGTGCAGAACTGAGGGCCTGACAAGGACAGCTGTCTAGTCCTTCGGATGAGACGAAAAACCGAGGTCCCGTGTATACATTGGAATGCACGTAAAAGATCCCTTGGCAGTTGGAATTCGATATAAGAGTAGGCGATAGTGCCGCTGCCCGGGCAAAATTTCCCTCATAGCACTCTGTATGGCGTATGCCCGTCTTCATTAGCCCAGTATAGGAGCAGAACAGTAGGACGTTAAACCCCATTTCATTTCATTTCATTGCCGCCGTGGGCGAAGACCTCGAGAACTGATGACGTAGTATGCAAAAGGGCATTCACCTCGTCCTCATTCTGGATTTCGGAGTAGATCTGAAGCTCTCTAATCTATCCGAGTGCCCCGTGGTGATAAGCAATATAATTACCTATAATTTAATTACATTCGCTTTCAGAGTTACTTCCCTGCGGCTACTTCAATAATTAGTGGTAGGTTGTAAGTTGCAGGTTACTTATAATATGGGTGTTCAAATATTTTAACACAACTTATAATAATGTGATTGAAAGTAAATGTATGTCGATATAGTATCATTGCAGTTTGATAGACAAATGAACATATACATAAACTATTAAATGCACAATTGATTCCTACAGCTAACGGCCCAAAATACAATTATTGACTTTGTTTATTATATTTATTTAAGGCGATATATATTATTGACAGCCAATTAAGCTGTCCAAGTGTATGGTGTTATATTTCATGTCAGTCATTCTATCAAACTTTTTATTTACATTTCTATTATGATTTATTTATTTATTTTAGGTGACAGCCGGTCTTAATTGGAAAAAAAGTCAAGAATATTTGATTATACTCAAATATTTGCGTGGCGTGTGGGCTGGTTTAACATTGCGCTTTAGACCAAAATGCCTGTCTTTCAGTCAAGTGACGTCGTTTCGATCCCCAAACTTGTAAGTGACTCGATGTAGGGTCGCCTGTCCAAACTCGTGGGTTTTCTCCGGGACCTCCGCTTGACTGTTTGAGTGTCCCCATGGGATTGACCAAAATGTTCGTATACCGAATTTTAATCTGATTAACCGAATTTAAGAAATAAAACACAGTAAAACAGCTAGAAAGTATCAAGAATTTAAACACGTAGGCGTAATTAATAGTGCATAAACATTTAATAATTTATTTCCTTTCATAATAATATTTACAAAGGAGGGGAATTATTTGGTAACATTATTAAACAATTTGCACAGCAAAGTTGTATAAACCGGTCTTGGGGCGGTATTTACATATTTAGGGGAAACACTAGAGGGTGGGGAAATCTTTATTTTTATTGTATCAATGGTATGGGGTGTGATTGTGTGAGGTGGGTTAACGTATTTATAGGAAAACCCGCCTAAAAGGCCCAAATGCTCCAAAATTTACGCGTGCTTGTAACTTAACATAGTTACATGTCTATTTTAATGAATATTTAATGTGACAGATGGTGCAAACATGTGAATATAATAATTCTGTCTTCATAATTAAAAATAAATTACAAAGAAGTACTAAAAAGGCCAGCATGGAAGTAAACGAAAATATTTACAAAAAGTATTCAACTACCTATTTTCAATGAACAAGAAGAATAAAAATGTAACACTAATATAATTACGTCACTTGTTGCTGTATGTGCAAATGCAATTTTATTACACAAAAATTCAATGGTTATCCTATTGCCTGAGTTGAATCAATCAAGTTAACACTCTTTTCAGTGTTCTCTTATTTTGAAAATGAGATAAGGTCGGGGGTCTGAGTTGTTAAGATCGAACGAAGTAGCTGTCTAAATTATAAGGCAATTGTTAGCACGGGCCATATTCATGAAAACTGAAATTTCAGATCAGATTTCCCTTTTTACAAGAAATGTTACGGAATTCGTTATATTTTAAACACAATGTTTATTTGTTGCAATATCTACCAAAATATTAATATTCTTATAAAGTGATATTTTTGTCGGATGTATCATATCATAATTTATTGATGGGGCCTATTCTATTGGACTCTCGCGCAACAGGCAGTAGTCGATTGAGGGTTGAATTATATAGGGGAGCCGAAGGACCAATTATATTCAGTTGCTTTGAATCGTGTGTATTCAAAATAATCACAGTTAATGGGCATTTTTCTCGACAGATTAGAATATCAAACTAACATTTAAAACCCTTGTTGTCTATGGGACTAACACATCGATTTAAACTTTGCCAAGCCACTATGGCAACCAGTGATAACTCGTACTAATTTTAAGTTACAATTTGCTTAAAGAAAGAACTAGTTTCAGGCATATTTTAGTGAATAGAGTAGGTTAATTCTGAAAAGCTATAAAAAAAACACATTTATCCTAGTCTTCTGTAACTTTCTGGAGTTTGTGATTACTAATATTCAGTTTGCATGCGGGGTTGGTGACTTCCTCTGAAGTGTTCACTTTTAATACACTTCTAGAAACACTCCAATGAAGTTAGGTTACCCTATTAAGCAAATTTAATCATCACGATTTTGATTTAAAATTTTCAAACAAGATGGTTGGTTGGTTTGCATTCTTAAACCATTTATTTGTTTCCACGAAAACCCAGAGAGATCTGTGACGGCTCCTTTTTCACGAATAAGACCCAAAATGGTTGCTATTCAATATAAATGAAAGTGTATTTTAATTTTAAAGAATAGTTTCTCCAAACATATTTAAGTCAAATGTTCGACCCACAAAGTTTCAAAAGTTTGACTCAAAACTAAGATTACAGATTCAAAATACATTACAAACCCAAAATAAATTAAATCGGCTAATAATTACAGAGCAACTGTGTTATTTTTGCATGTTCATTACTTGCTCGTTATTTGGTAACGCCAGTGACCATGAACGTATCGTCTTGGAAGTACTACACATTGGTGGTTAATCTAAACTTGAAGACTGGAAACCGAGCTTCTCTTGGAGTATCTCGTAAGATTTATAATTTAGAAGTGTTGTTGGTAACTGGGCATAAAGGCTGTGTTTTGGTTATGGTTTACATGTACAAGTTTGAGGCTATACCAATACAATATGTAAAGGAAGGGTGCTTTAGTTACTTCTGAGTGTCTTTAAAATATCGTCTATATTTAATCCGGGATTGGTTCACACCATATTAGTCCAAAAACATCACGAAAAATTAGTTAAGGATAGAATCCAACATTACAACACTTAATAGAATAAGATCTATAATAAACACATCACATCAAAATAGTTTTGGATTTGTGCAAATATGTCACATCAAATTAGTTCTGGTCGCAAGTTGCACACTAATCTATCACATTTATTACATACAAGGTCTAAAATATCACGTTAAAGCACACTCTTTTTTCGGTTCACTAATATAAAATTAATTATATTCTGTCAAACAATTTCACGTCAAGTACCCTCCGTAGAGTTTGTCTTAAACTTTCACATAAAATACGCATCGTTTGCACGTTTACATCAGATGCGTTATTCTTGAACTCTTCTCATGCTAAATGCCCGCTTTTCAAAATGGTTCTTTTGTTATATTATGTATATTTCTTCGACTTCCTATTCTGGATTTGTATTACACTTCCACGAAGTCCGTTATTGGTCTTACAGAAAGTTTTAGATTGATCTTACATTGTCATGTTAAAATAGTTCTTGATTGGTCTTACAACATAACCATGCTAAGATAGTTCTAGATTGATCTTGCACTACCATGTTACAATAGTTCTGGTTTGTTCTACTCTATCATGTTAAAATAATTCTAGTTTGTTCTTACTCTACCATGTTAAACTATTTCCAGTTGAAACTCAGGCTATACCAAAATTAAAATAGTTCTGGATTGTTCAAACCATGTTAAAATATTTCTATATTAAGTCTACACTACCCAATTAAAATAGTTCTGGATTAGCCTTGCGGTCGTGTACTATAATACTAAATTATTTAGGGACTGCTCAGTTAATACCATGCAAAGATTGGTTGGCTGTATACTATCACGTTACAATTAATGGATTGACACTGTAATTAATTCGGGATTGATCCTATACTATCACGTGTAATGGACTGACCCTAAAATACCACTTTAAATCACATTGGATGCCTATGCCAATAGTATCGTGTTAAATTAATTGTTGAACAATTTTGAATTCTAATAAAAAGTAATATTTGTAAGGCTAGTTTATCAACTTCAAATTACAAAAAATAGGCCTATTTCAAATAAACCAGATTTCGGTAGTTAATCACTGACACGTGTCAAAATTGTATTCTGTAATGTTCCCATCTAAGCTGATAACATTATAATTAAAAATATGTAAATTCTGATCTAAAAGATAAACCCAGATCACCATCATCCGATGATATATTATCATTTTCATCCTGGGTAATGTGGCCATTTTGTCCTACGTGTCCATTAGCTTCCGGTTTTATGCATCCATTTTGATGACGATGATTGTGAACTTCGCCATTTTGTAAATTTTCAGAGGCTTTTGTAGTAACACATGGCTGCTGCTTCTGGCGAGAACAATATTTCAAAAAAAAATGTTCAAACCCAAGTGCTATAGCTGCTACGACTATTCCAATACCGATTAGAAAAAAACTACTCTGAACATCCACTAAACTTATTGGTTTGGATACGGTTTGTAGTTCACCTTTACAGAAAGGTGTGGCATTCCACCATCGCCGCTGCCAAATCTGTAATAAGCCACTTTCATAAATACTCAACATCCTGAAAAGAAATCAGATCAACATTTAAATATATTATCCTAAATCCGTCAAATTGATACACATCTAACTAATAATAGGCACCGAATCAACAATTTTATTCCTTTGCGACATAATGGAATATCCATTCGTTTCCCTAATAACCGTGAGAAGGACACTATTCATGACTCAAACCTGTTTTGAATATTTTTGGTTTATGCATTGTGCAAATCCTTGACTAGACGTTCTTCTCTGGTAGAATCAGATGCTCCACATTCCACAAGATTTCGATGATTTTGATTTTGATGAGTGTTTTATTCTCTGGTGTTTTTCATCACAAAGGTCCACGATATCTACCGGGAGGTTTCTACTCATACTAGCCAATCATATTTCCACGTGGTTTTTGACAATTAAATGTCGTTCGTTCGTTCCTGGAGTTGTACGTCCACTTTCACCAAGGGTGATATCGCAGACAAAACAACAATTAAACCTTATGATGGGTTGTGGGAATTTTAAAACCCAAGACTATAAAACGGATTCTGACAATTAAACCTACCAGCATCAGTTTTATAGGCTTGGGTTTTAAAATTTCCATAATTCATCATAACCACCACCCAATATACCAAAACCCTAATTCGATTGGCCCAATAAGTTCACCATCTTCAAGGGCATAGGTTAATAAGGAAGTGTATACAACATAAAGGAAACGTAATTAACAATGATTTTAATCAGACGAATTAAATAAAGAATCTTACTCCTTTGAGAACATCTCCGTATATGCTGATCTGTTTTGAAGACCAAATCCGTACTGCAAAGGTGTGAACGTCTCTTTTAATAAATACAGATCACAATCAGTTAACATTGGTATCTTCAGACTGCTTTTATCAGCTATGAAGGCATAGTAGCCGCCTTTAACCAAATCAATATGAACATCTTTATCGATGCTAAGAACCCTGGGATCATAGAGAGCATCAACAGCTATGGTATTCCAAACACGTTTAAGCACATCATTTGAAGAATACTGAAACATTATGAAAGTAATTATATTAAACATAAAAATAATATCAAAGATGGTTTGCCGGATAACGAAATATTCACCACATAAAAGAATATTTTTAAAGTAGATGTGAAAAGTGAATATCAACATTTTCCCTTTGACAACAAGACCCCATTCCCGAGACCCCTTCCTTCAAAGAAACCTCAATGTAAAGATCTATCCTATTAAATTTACATATCTTTTTTCGGTTTTTTTTCTGGAATAAGAAAATGAATAAACAAAATGAACAACAAAAATCGAAATATAACATCTTATTTTGACTTAGATTGACCTGGGACTGCACTTACTTCAACTTCCATTCGAATTTTAGTACCACTGGGTAATCCCCATCTATAATCAGAATCTGAAATTAGTTCAGAAAGTGTTTCAAATGGCGGCTTATCTTTCGTTACAGTTAAAAAGGCTATAAGATTTCCACTGTATGTAGCCGCCATGATGATAGAAAACAGCCACCAAGTACTGATCATAGTTCTTCCAGCCTGAGAATCCGGAAGATGCTCGCCACCTAAAACAAAAGCACAAAGAAATAAATTAAATTATTTCAATTTTTAGAAGTTATAATTTCGACAAAGATACAGAACAGTGGAGTGGCGATAATCACAGATTAGCTATTAATATTTTTGCGATCAAAGGAAGTTGATAAGTTGAAATACTAATTCCCTTTGCACAGAGCGATCACAAACATGCGTAAACGTAGAACATTTTATAGCAACGTGTAAAAAAAAGTAGTATCAACAAATCTCTCACCTTGAGTTAACATGGCGCCGTACATATACCAAAATGCATCTTGAAAGATATGGGTACCAGCATACCGCTGTAGATAAGGCTCTTGTGAATAAAATGGATTCCATTTTTCTAACAGGAAGAGAATAACAGAAGACCCAAGCAAAGATAGCCCAATACACATCAACACTTCCGAATGAAACGGCTCTATCATGGTCCTCCATTTCGTCGAACTCGGGTCTGGTTTTTTTATCAATACGGATAGGGCATCTTGATAAAACGGAAATGTAAAATCCATAACATATTCTCTATCCGGTGTAACCATTAACGGACCGGCGACCAAATCAACTGTCTGTAAGGAAAAGGGAAATCTCTATGCTAAGCTTTAAAAACTTTAAAATAGAAGAACTCTGATAATGAAATTACTAATCACTATATTCTGGTTTGGAATAATTTAAACTATTGGCCTGTATGATCTAAATAATAAAAAAAACCTGTTATCATTTAAAATAGCCTGTGGTTGCTACCAAGGAATTTGAAAGAAAAAAATATAAAATTAGGAGGACGGTATTAATAATATTTTAAGTTAGATCGTTCCGGTCATAGTATCAATACCTCATTCTGTAACTGTCCAATCAAGCCTGTCCATGTTCTATTAACCAGCATGCCCCATTCTTTATCTGCAGGTCCATCGGTGATCTCATACCTACAATAACACCATTACCAAAACGTAATCCAGAATAGGGAAAAACTTGCGAGGACAGTTTAACATCCTGAACTCCCCATCTTGACTTCCCCATCTTACCCCTACCATTAGCTACCCTTACTAATAGACAGCTCTTTATATCTTTGGCGCTGTGAACACCCCAAACGACAAGTGGTATTAGGTGCTCTTGGAGTGGTAAAACTAGACATTTAATTAGTTTTAGACCGGAAGTTCAATTGGAAAATATTATGGTACCACTGAAGCTTACAAAGGAAAGTCTGTCATTATTGGAACAAGTACGTTGACAAAAATATTGTGGTCCAGATGCGATAAAGGAATAAATAATAAGAGTAATATTTAAAACCAAGTGATTCTATGTGCTAGAAACAGAATGACAATCATCCGCTGTGCTGTGATCCTCACTAAACCAAAGCTGAACTTACGTAAAATTAAGAGAATAAGACAGTTCTTCAAGGATATCCATACAGAAACCATCAAATGGTGTTGTATTGGTAATAAACGGATGCCACTGGAATAAAAACATACCAAAGTATAGTGTATGATTTTAGATTTAACAAAGTCTGATCAACATTTACAGATGGTATAAACCCGATCTGTGGATTTAATAATGAAACCTTGCAGCATCAGAACTTCTAATTCAGTTTACAAAGTAATGAAAGTTTTCTTCTAAGCAAAGTACTTTAGCCTTCGGATATGAATTAGCACATAACTAATGCCCAAAAGAAAATATACACACTAAACATATGGCTAAGTTTTGTTTAAATTAAAAACATTTGATAAAACAATGCTGGGCCCTGTTTCACAAACACTTAAGCTAAAATCACTAAAATAGATTTAAACTAAAATCAAAATGAAATTTTAAATTTTATGCGTTTCACGAAGATTGATTGTAACTTAAAATGCAATTTTAATAGATTTTAGTTATAGATACATTATGGGAGATTTTTATAAGGAGTTAGCCATACTTGCTATAATAGTTCAAAAATAGATGATGAAAGAAGAATATGTTGAAAATTTCAGTCAAATTACTTTATTCAGCACATAGTTATCACCAGTGTAATTTTTGACTAGAAATGGGATTGAATTGCATCTTCACCGATTCTTTAGCCTCGATCCGGGAGTATGACGTCAACGTAACGGTTAATCTCCGCTCACAACGCCATTTAAAATTAAATCAGTCAACGAAATCCCCTTTAAATCCAAGCTGAATCCAAGCCACCCGTGGGTCTACAGAGTTGATTTTGTGCTTGTTGTGTAAATAATGATCTAATTTATAATTTCTATGACATCTGAAGCCTAAATAAAGACTTGCAATAATCAGATTTAGCTCTTGCATAATGTATGTTTAAAATTGTTTGCGCCCGCGCAGTGAAAAATTCCGTTGCGGCATCCTGCTTTCGTGACCTTGGCATTTGACTTACTCGCAGGCTTCCATGGACATGATGCGTATTGATTGAACTAAATCGTATGAATTTCCTGGTTTTATGGTATTGTGGATAACAGAAACTATTGAGAATTGTCACAAACATATGATATGTGTGACTCAAACGGTTAATCTAGGCTGTAGATTTTTGTCAAATTTTAAAAGTACATGTATGTAACAACTTTGTTGAAACTAATACCTCAAATAATACTCCTCGCAGTGTTTGGTTTGACTAGAGCTAATCCCGGAAAGACATTTCTCGGGCCATTGCTTCATGAATTTGATGTTTCGATGCCTAGATAAATAGATTTGAAATGTCATCGCCATTGACCCTTTCAATGATACATTGAAAATGCCAATGTGCCTATCTGTCTTACTCAATTAAAATGATTTTTTCCCTGATTAACGTAAGCCTTCATTAAGAAATAATAATAAATTTAGCCTATGATATTAAAATTTAATTTCAAAAAGGCCTATAACATTTTTCAATAAACACATTTGAGATTATTGATTTTTCTTTTTACAAATCATCATAACCCCCAAAACATATGAGTAAATACTGTGCTTATGGCATTTCTAGTATTATAGGCCATTAGGCCTTCTAATACCAAGAAATTGGCCATTTTAAACCATTGTAGGCCGACACGAAGATATTTTCTTTATAGATAAGAGTGCCCTTCTTTCCATGACATTGGATATGAAGTGATTTTCCTTTAGCGGGTTTTTGTTTTGTCAATTAATTATTTGAAAATGGTATAATTTATACTTGAATCATATGGTAATATATAAAACAGTAACAAAGGGTTTTGTTTACTGGGGTTTTGAGTGTTTTTGCTTCTTTGGGATTCTAATTTAGGGCGTCATCTAAATGCTTAAATTTCCTTACAATAAAATAAACGGGTGGACCGTAGCTGTATTCCCCATGCTATGAAAAGAAAATGAATGAGAATTGTTTTTGTGAATCATGGTATGTTAAAATTATGTGACCCGGGCCATTGGCAATATGATCATTATTCCAAATATATATGTCGCAATAGATCTAACAACGTAGTCCTGATCAACGTTTGTTAATGTCGTGATTTTAAGTTAGGAGAGGGTGACGGCTATACTAAGTTAAAATTGAATTTAGTTAAAATTGTCACTAAAATAGGTTTGTGAAACGCCACACTATTTTAAGTGAAGATAAAATTTTAACTTAAAATATTATTTTAGTGGATTTTAACTAAAATGCTTAAATCGTTTTGTGAAACGCATCTATCTTAAGTTAGGATGAATTTTTTTAGTTGAAGACGATTTTAATGAGATTTAAGGGAAACAGGGCCCTGTACATGTCTCTCGCCTCCAACCTCAACGTTTCTGGGCAACAAAAGCGACACAAATTGATAATGGACTCATATACCGCATACAGTGGGTTGACGCAGCATGAAATGTATTCGAATTATATGAGATGGGGCGAATGAAAGACTTACGGGTAATGTGGACACTGTAAATTTTCTCCTATTTAATCCAAAATCCAGATTAGGAAATATTTTATGATCAAGACTGAGTTCGCCGGTGACATCCACAAAACCGACATGATTTAGCCGTCTGCCGTCAGGTTTGCGCATTAATGTATAAATATCACTGTGCCAACACAACAGTGGATTGGTAAAATACTGAAAAATAAATCATTATAAATAATTTATGTAACTGATGCAATATTTCTGTCGTGTTCAATACAACAGTACAACATAGGTTTGTTAGTCAGAATGATGAGTGGTATCTAGAAAGATTAAACATTCCCCATACCGTGCCAGACACCCCTCACATAATGTGGGAGCCCCGTAATCAGGGGAGTATATCTCCCTACGTTCCTTCCAGCTCCGGGAATCATACCAATCAGGAATGCTCTGTATTTTCCAGAAAAATATTCCTGACGGAATTCGATGCCGCAGTAATGCACGAAGTGATATACACAAATAATTGTTTTGATTATAATGCATTCCACTGAGTAAATAGTCCCATCTTTAATTGTCCATATTTGATAATCAAGACTATCGATCTGGCGAAATAAGTAAATAAACATTATTGCCACGATCAGTAAGCGAAACATCGCTGTCATACGTTTCAAGTTCCATAATGCAGTTGACAGTTACCCTCAACGAAAACTATATAGTATTAACTTATTGAATCTGATAAAAATCAGACAGCCTCTGAATATTGCCGTTGTAATAGAATTTTGGTACAAAATACAACAAAACGATTTACTTGGTTGTATGCATTGTTGTTTTATTTTATCCCCCCACGAAACGACAAAACTAATATACGTCATACTGATCTAATATTACGAACAGCCAGAGGGCCTTTTACCTTTATAAATAGATTAATTGTTTCATTTTGTAAGACTTCAAACTGTATTCTTTCTGTATAATTAAAATCTCCAACCTTTCGAAGTATTTCTTCTATTGATAACGGTAATCCCTGGATAAACATTACAAAGTATCAAACAAACGATATCGATCAATCATTGATCAGAAAGTAATTAATATTTAACCTAAATCTAAATATACACGCAAAGCAACAATATGCATTATATTTGACCCTGGGACATGGTTGTTTTAAATAAAAAAAAACCCTGCACAACTTTGTAATGCATGCATGAGTAATATTTATTTAATATGACGTAGGTGTATGAAACACGTGTCAGCTTTACCTATTTAAAGAAGATAAAACCAGATGACTCATCTATATATTGAAATTAAAAGATGATGCGCCAGCCTGATTATTAATATTGGTAATGAAATATGTTTCATGAAGCCAGAGAAATTGAGATGGCAGCGAGGAAATCGTTATAAACTTTTGTAAGTTTTTAATGTTCGTATTTCAACTGATCATGTTTAACGGAAATGAATATTTTGTGTTATAATCCGTGATTGGGTTCGATATTATCTGTAGACTCTATAGCTGTGTTTGCTTTGTCAAACTTCGTTCTTTACACACTCGATATAATAAATATTTATAATACTTTTGCTTGGAATTTTAACGATGGGTTGATGAATTGCTTAAAACACAGAAATTAGACACATCACACATTTTAAAGGTCCTAAATCTCTATTTAGGTCGAAATAAAACATAACATTGGTTTGATCTGATGTGTTAATTCGATTAGTTATGGGACAAGCTCTGTGCGATTAAAGTTTTGTTTAGAAACATTAAAGGACAATATTGGTGCCAGTCATTATCACATATGTGATAGAGCTGGTTAAACACATTCCAAATATAATTTTAACACAGAGATCATTGCTACGATAGCTGAGTAATACAGGTTTCCTGAATCGGAAGTGACGAACGCCAAAGGAAAACACGAGTCCTACCTCAATATAACTGACTGATGTGACGAGTGATAACAGATACACGGCCGAATTTCTGCTCACTAATAATTGAATGTCATTAGATAAGAGAACACGAGAAAAACAGAAATAGTCCGTACATTCCCTTGGTTATTCATTCTATACCTTATACAAACATGGTTATGCACGGACTTTTTCTGTTTTTCTTTCGTGTTCTTTTATCTAGTGGCAGTCAATTCTTTTTATGAATTGTCAGATATCCCCTCACAGTCTCACGCAACAACTTTTGGTCTTGGAAGGAATTATTAGTGAGCAGAAATTCGGCCGTGTATCGGCCATCACTCGTCACATCAGTCAGTTATATAGAGGTATGACTCGTGTTTTCCTTTGGCGTTCGTCACTTCCGATTCAGGAAACCTGTATTACTCAGCTATCGTAGCAATGATCTCTGTGTTAAAATTATATATGGAACGTGTTTAATTAGTTCTATCACATATGTGATAATCACTGATACCAATATTGTCCTTTGAGTGGAAGTCGTCTTGTTTACTAATCTTAGTTTGAATTAAGACTACTTTCTCAACAGTGAAACCCCCAAAATGGATTTATCTTAACACTGGCCAACTGCCCCCCCCCCTCTCAAAGAGAAAAACAATATGCAATTTGGCTTCCGGTCATACATACACAAACAACACAGAATACACACACCAAAAAACACAAACAAAATCGAATGACAATTTCATTATTGATCAAAATCAACGAGGTCGGGTCCGACATATTTACTAATGTAATATAATTTATTTCACTTTAGGTTGTAATATGAAGGGTAAGTGTTTCCTGTGCTATGCTATTGCGTCGTGTGTTTGTCTGTGTTTTGATGTGCAGTTCTCCTGTATTATCTATTGACATAAGTAATTTTATTTTAATATTTCGGAGATGCTGTTGGGACAAAATAGTCGTGCCCTCGTTAATAGTATGTCACAGGATAAAAGTTAGAATTTTACCTTCATCATCTCGTGTATAAAGACGTAATTAGATGGTGGATATATAATAACAGCTACATGATCTAAATCAGTTACACAATTTTCTATAAACGACTTGTTCTCATCAGGTAATATAACTAACCAATTAGAGATCATACTAAATGATGCTTCTTTATGTCCCCTTTCTTTGTCTAAGTTGTCCGCCTGAAATATTAAATGCTAACTATCAATGATGTCTAAATATATTTCCTATTTAGGAAGTAGAGCACTTACAAAAATGAACCAAATCATGCCTCCATTACTTTCGATTTTCTTATTAATGACGATTTTTTAACAATGATGATCTCGCATTCATGGGTGATTGCATTGATCCAGCACCATGACCGGGCACATGAACCCTTATCTTTCATCACAATATAACATGCAGTCTGGTTGTGAATCAAAAACCAATGGGAAAGTAATAAAACTCGGCTGAGATAAAAGGTAAAAAATAGATTCATAAACTTACGATTGTAAGAAGTGCCTTGGCTGTGTCAATGGAATTGAGTACGATGAAATTTGATGTGCCTTTTTCTAGTATTGTGTTAGAAGTTAATAATTCTTGTAGTTGCCTGGTATCATTAAATGTGTCTAAATTATACATCAAAATATGTATACTAGATAAAGACAGAGTATCCGTGAGAACTTTCGCTTCTTTTTCTGTAGAAGAAAATAAGAGATGATGAATATATATAATATTGTCAATGATATAAGCATGATTGTAACATGAACGGGAAATCTTCTTTTGTTCTTTTGGCTGAATAAGCTGATTGTTTCCCCCCTAGTAGGTAGAGTGGCTGGAGCTTAACCGTGCAATAACTAGATAATTTCAATGTTATTGCACACTTTTGCTGGTTGACGCTAATTTTAGTAGAAATCATATAGAGAAGTGGGATGGGTTTTCTGTACAATAACAACGGGCATGTTGAGCAGACGTCAATGTTACAAGTCATTTATAGCAGACTTCATTCGTTAACAGGTTTAACACCTCGACCTACGGCTCTGTGGTTAAACCTGTTAACTCATGAAAGCCGTGCTATAATATAACTTGACTAACCGTGCCGCAGTATCACAGGGTAAGAGTACATTATGCATTTTAAATTGCTATGGTCTTTTTTTTAAAATATACAAATTTCGATTAAATAATCGTATTTCGATTAAATAATCGTATTTCGATTAAATAATCGTGTTTCGATTAAATAATCATATTTCGATTAAATAATCGAATTTCGATTTGATGATCGTATTTGATTGGATAATCGTACTTTAACCAAACTTACACAACTGTCAACTAAATTTACCTGTATCTCCTTCATAAAATACGAAAGTATGTTTCCATTCCAGTTTTTTAACAACAGCTGCCATAGTCTCCACTTTTGAAATGGTGATTTGTGGCTCTTCGCTTATCGGGTCATCAAGGTCTATCTCACAGTTTTCTATATTCTAGATTTAATTGAATAACACAAATTGCCTTTGATTATACACTTCATTTACATTAAGGTAGGGTCACAAAAGTGATGTGTGTTAATGTCCAGGCTACACGAATCCGGTCATATCGCACACAGGCGTTTAAAAATATAGGGAAACTATCCCACGCCCTGTTTAGCCTCATCCATGACGCGTTATCGGCCCTTCTACATCATGTTTGAGAGGACAAATGAGATAAATTGTTAATTTCACTTATGGACAAAGTGACAAATGCTGCATATATACAATACACGCATATCGTGATATAAAAAACATTTACTGAAAGGTAAGTGTGTGCCAACAAAACCTGTTAAATAAAGTAATAATTTTAAAAAATTGTGAACAAATCGCAGAATTTAAATGATATATCACGTAATGTACTATTGCATTCTATTTATCTTCCATATTAAGATTTACGGTATATAAAAAAAATAAAACACTTTGATTTCCAATTAAACAAGTATGAAAAGCTGCCAATAAAGAAACAGAATGGAAAACATATAGGCTACCTCTAAATTCTCTTGGATATCTGTAAAACCACACATCAGGTAGCCAGCAAAAACGGAAGACCCTTTCTTCGGTTCAGACGACACGGATTGCCTTCCCTTGTAGAAAAGCACAGGCACGTTGACGTCATGTTGGTTCAACCCGTGTCCCACACAATTTGAAAATTCATCAGCAAAGATTAATAAATCGGTAATTTTGGACAAGCGTTTTGCTGAAACGAAAGAGGGATGGCCAAAATTGTTACAGAAAATAAAAAAAAACATATCTAGATAAACAGCATACATGTATTATTCTTTAAGCATAGGTATACTAAGTAAAGTGGCTTTTCCGATTAGAATTAAGCACCTAAGCAGCCTTTTACAGAACTGTTTCTTGACACAGTAATTGAAAGATTTCAATTTGACGGTCTATAATAAGATGGTTATAGTGCTGAAATGAGCTCTACATTACTCAACCTAAACTGCAGCACAGAGCTTGTTTACGGAACAGAGGCGGGTTAAGACTCTGATGGGCCCTAGGCAGCTCGACCAGCTGGCCCCTTTGCGGAACTGGTTTGCCATAATAAAACTAAGACCGCTGTAAGAGAAAAGAAAATTTCCGAGGATATACTGATGGAATAATGTCAAGCACTACAACTTAGTCAAACATTATTGTTAGTCGGTCAGTGACGATCAATTGATGCTCAGAGGAGCACAGCAACAACCAATTGCTGGATAAAATGAAAACAAACTTGATGTCCAAGCTGTCATCATCACTTTCAGAAATCACTCCCACCTGGTCGGTCGGCGACTCATTATTCTCGATGATATCATTCGTGTTTTCATCGACTGAGCAGTGACCCTGTCCCTGGCCGCCGAAAAACATCGTGATTTTGGGCGTAGTTTTGGCCGCTTTTTTCAGTATTTCAGCTTCATGTTTTTTTTCTGTTCTCTCTTCTCCCATCCACACCTTTGCCTTTGGGGCATATCAACGGCGAACCGACCTACGTATAAATGACGTGGCCTTCACGTAATGAAGGAAAGACAATTTCAAGAAAAAATCGCAAAAACTTTTTTAAAATGACAGCGAAACCGAATACCTGGATAAGGCGGGCGAGTGACCAGTCTCCCAGTTGGAGTGATCGATCACACTAAAGCTTATCTCGAGGGCTATGGTGTCAATGACCGCGTGGGCCTTCTTCCCTCACAGTGAACGGCCGACACAACCGAGTGATGTTCGTTGGAAGCGTAGTCCAGTGAATTAAATAATGTAAAACATCAAATTTAAAGTAGCCAAGTCTCTAACTCAATATCATCCAAAATCTTCGACATTGAAAACACGATTTATTTGTCGGTTTAAATCAACATTGATGTTGTGATCTTACCGGGAAAAGATGGCCTTCTGATATCCAATATTTAAGACAAAATAAACATTTTACAATTGGTACACGAATCGTGTACCATAATGCGTTTCAGTGCTATTTGTAATAAGGGACTCGAAAAACGAGGCTAGGCATATTCCACAAGTCATGTCAAACGGTGACACTATATTCTTATCTGGAGAGCAAGCCCAATAAATAATATCGGCGTAGACAGGAATAACCAGACGCTAGGGATTGAAATTCGATTAAGAATACTGGCGTATTTCGCCGAACGTAACTGATTAAAAATTACAGTAAAAACAGAAACGTTTGAATGTAAATCAATTTATATACATTCATATTACATTATTGTATGCGTTGCGACCCATTTGTGTCAATTTCTAGGTCCCAAATATTAGCCACTTAGCTCCTTTAAAAAGGTCGTCAAAAATTTTATGGACCCTAGGCAGCTGCCTACACTGCCTATGGGGTAATCCGCCTCTGGTAAGGAATATGGACCAGAGATCTCAATAAACGACAATGGGCGTTATAAATGGCAAGTTATAACTGTTTACCACGTGGTAAATATTTTGATATAATATAATGAATAACTGTAGAATAGCCATTATCACTGATTTAATCTGTGATTTTATAATGAACTAAAATCAATAATCAATACATAATATATCTATCAATGTCAATCAACCATATTATAACTCCATTTCATACAATATCTTTACATGTGTTCTACATACCATTAATAGATGAACGAGTAATTTAATGAAAACACATTAATACCATTTATCTAGATAAAGCACTAATGATATTAGAAAAGGTTAATTATTATATCAGGTGGCCCAGAAAAAACCCCAGAAAATAAAGTGGAATATAATTCAATAAGAGATGTTCCTATATTATTAAAACTCCTACACGCGCTACAATCTGGATGTTTGACAACTGCACTCTATCAAGTCCACCGCTTAATAGTATTACAATAGTACGAGTTTTTAAAAAGGTTGTCAAATCCACTCGGCAAATCTCGACAGATTCCGTTTCCCTACATCTAATCTCGGCTGTATGACAGTAAGTGATATGTACCTACGCCCATACATTTGCGATGCGGCTGCCGGTTTACTTTAAACAGGAAAACGTGTCGCTTTTACAAAAAAGTCCCAAATTGCGTCTTTTATAGAGTGCATATACCTAAATGAGCAGAGATATTGTCTCAAGGCTGCTGGTTTAATAAAATTCCCTGGTAATTCCCCAAACCCAATGCCAAACGTGACGTTTGTTGATATAATACACTCTCCACAGAAATCTCCATGGGGGCAGCCATTTTTCATTCGGAACCTTTAAAATAGTTCAAATATGGCGGAAATGGTGATACAGCCGAGATTAGATGCGTAGAATCTGTCGAGGTTTGCCGAATGTTGTCAAATCATGTTTTGCCGGACTAAGAAGTCACACCACACACTCACACCATAAGTTTACATATGCTCTTCATAAACCCTTTCCGAGAGACTGTGCCAAATGGCGTAATCCAGCAGATTCAGGTCCGCGGACTGCGGCGGCCACAGATGGATGAGACCACCCCAAACTTTTTTTTTTAAAAAAAGATGAAATTAAGAATTATTATGATGCGTTACTCTGAATTTAATATCCATATAAAATAGTCTGCCCTAGACTTTTTTTTAAAAAAAAAGATCAGTGGCCGCCAAGAATTTGAATCCAAAGAATTACGCCACCTCGAAAAATAAATATTTATAAAGGACGCACGAAACCCTTTATGGAAAATGAACTGAAGGATACATTGCGGGCAAAATGGGCAGAAAAGGGCTTAGAGGAAATAATGAATTCGATTTCTGTGTGGAAAAGGAGGGGGACTGGATGGCTGAATGGTTAGCGTGCGCGCGCTGTATCATAAAGTCTGTCATTGAGTCGACTGGCGTGGTTTCGAATCCCCGGTTGTACGTGACAAGGAGTAGGGTCGCCTGTCCAACCTCGTGGGTTTTCTCCGGGTCCTCCGGTTTCCTCCGACTGCTAAAGACCCCTATGCGCAAGCGAATTATTGAAATAAAATTAAACCATATGTTAGTCCCGAAATGACCTAGTTTGTGTCGAGTGGACGTTAAACCCCATTTCTCTCTCTCTCTCTGTGGAAAAGGCGCTTTCGGGCAAGACGGGGGACATATTGCCTATTTGTTTATGTAAACTTATTTGAGGGTGATGTGACTTCTTAGTCCAGCAAAACATGATTTGACTTCCTTTATAAAATTCGTAGCCTACTATGATAACACTATCAAATAAACTCTCAATTTTGGATAAGACCATTGACGTTAAAATGTCTGGAAAACGCACCATTTTTCATTTTTACGTGTTTGGGTTGCCTCCTTTGCTGCGAGTTTGTTTTTATTTTGGGTGATGTCTGTCTCACTTCGCAGGGCAGCACAGTACAAAGGATGCTTACGCCACCCACCCACGGATCCATTCTCTTGATTTAATAGCACTACTGTTGTTTTTAACTTGCTATGTGCGTGTGTGATGTGTCTTGTAGGCGGGTCTGTCCTCTGGGTTGTTTATATTTGATGTACTTATCCTGCACTTACTATTAGAACTATTAGAGATGACTGTGGGAAAATAGAATTTTCCTAAATAAGAAATGAGGGTGATTTATTATACCATTAGCATTATGATGTACATAAAACATCTTTAAGTTTAATATTGTACATAGTCACCATCCCCGGTCTATTACCTCGTGCTATATATTATTTATAAACATAATTTATTACTTTCATGTTTATATTGATCCCCTGGTGATTGATCAAAACAGTTTTCCAGTTTTTGTTATTAACACAAAATGGCTGAATATATATATATATAGTGTCTAAAAGGTGTACATAATAATACGCAAACTAGGTTATTTCTGGTCTAAAATGCGATATTTCAATTATATGTTCCTCGCAGGGGTCTTCCGAAAATGTCACATGTTAATTATGTTTTTGGTTTTTTAAAATTAGTCTTTTGTACTACATTTGAATCTGGCATTATTTTCTTTGTTAATGGTATTCCGATCACGTTAATATATATTCACCAATCAAACTGTCTGTATTGGTATGGCGTTTCTTTTTTGGGTGAATTCTGAAATGCAAGGGTATGGGGGGAGGGGGGTCTGATGGTAGTTTAGGTTGTTATAATCTGACCTTTTACACAGACCTTTCACTGGCAGAACATGCTTCTGATAGAAAACAGGATAGAGTGGAATGTTGCGTAAAATCAGAAAATACAAAACGAAAATAGTCTTTAGTAATTAGAACATAATCGAATAACACACTATTTATGGATAACATTAAAAACGACTTGTGAAATCTTGTTGAAACGTCGCAGTGAAATAAACTATATATAGTAATTGTTATCCATAAATAATGTGTTATTCGAATACAAAAGAAAAAAGTAATCTAAATTAAATTAGACTGTTAGTCGATGCTACTGCTAGACACGTTAAAATCAAAGATTAAACGGGTAGTAATTGTCATCAGATTTTAAGATATTTTACCGCAAATGTTTAGATCGCTCTAGCCCTAATGCTTACCCTGACCCTAACCTACAATCTCGCCATTAATCCTGTGGCCCAAGCTTGACAAAAATTGAGCTGGCCTTAACAAATAGATTTAGCCCTAAACAGACACAAAACAGACGGAAATTAACGAATTCATTTTACAACAATAATATCCATCCATACATAGATTGATCGATTGTACCCCAGAGCATTGTTTACGTTATTAATTTCTTACCTTCTTGTATTACGGAAAAACAATTCTCTCTGTGTAGTAATGACCATATGATATCAACACCTATATCATCACCCCATTTAGCTGTATGTTTCACATAATTGATGACTGTGTCGTTGAGCTTTAGTGATGAAGAAGCAGATCGTTCTAAGGCGCCTTTAAATAGAAACAAAAAGCAATAATTAATAACCGGATTAATTTTTCTTAACCAGTTTTTGATTGATTGAACTATACACTTAACTATTAAATAATTAGAATCAATAATAACAATGATATGGCTAAATAAAACAATTTAATTCGACTTAAGATCACAATAATATCCAAAAATAAAATTTAAAAAATTAAATGGTAAAAGGTATCCCTTAACAAGCCAACCATTAAGGCTGTTTAAGGTTTACGCACACAGTCGATTATCTTTCAGAAATTATTCATTGCCAATAAATAATCTTGAATGACGAGCTTGAAGAATTTTATATCTCAATGGAAAAAAAAAATAAATAAAGATCTAAATGCCTTCATTCATCCACACATGGAGAGCGTTGCTGTTTCAGTGTTCAGGGGAATAATTCAATAAACCACAGTTATTTTTTCGGAGTGGATATTCGCCATTCGAATGGCGAATAGCCCGGAGCCATAAGGATGGTTATTCGCCATTCGTTTTATATAATAAAGCTAACATTCTTGCAGATTGTTTGTGCTTTTATTCAAAATACGGACCCGGAATCCTTTTTTAATTGTCATTTGTTATTTGAAACTTCATAGTGCATATGAACACCTTCGTTCACAGCGAAGCGGAGACACCGAAACGGACATCGTGTGTAGATGGAAGTAGCACACATGTGAAAAGTTCCGTATTCTGTGAAATTTTGTATCTTTACTAATCCAGAAACATTGAAAACGCATTTCTTTGCACTTGTGTTTATCACAAAGTAGATAAAATACAAACTTAATCATTCCTGCGAAAGCAGCAGAGGCTTATTGAAATTGTTCTACCTGATCTGCCCGCCGGCCTACCACCCGGAGTAGGCTACCCACATTATTTCATTGCCAACCGCATGTTCTATCTATATACCATTCGTATATTTCACTTCCTAGCAATACTTCATTTCCAACTGCGTGTTATGGAGGGCCTGGCAAGGACAGTTGTCTAGACGTTAGGATGGGACGAAAAACCGAGGTCCCGTGTACACATTGGCGTGCACGTAAAAGATCCCTTGGCAGTTGGAATTCGATATAAGAGTAGACCGTATTGCCGGGAAAAATTTCCCTCATAGCACACTGTATGGCGTATGCCCGTCTTCATTAGGACAGGTTAGGAACAGAACAGTGTGACGTTAAACCCCATTTCAATTCATTTACAACTGCGTGTTATATTTCTATTTATACCTTCCATTTCAAACTAGAAAGAGAGAGAGAGAGACCTCAATGACAGACCTTATGATACAGCGCACACGTGCTAACCATTGCCCACCATCCCGCCATTCGTATCCCGTATTCATTTGCTACTCATAGCCTACATTACTTTCTCAACCGTGTGTTTTATTGTCAAACATATAATTCATTTACATCTACTCACATAGGCGTACGTCCAGCCAGGGATGAGATCGTAATTTCTTAAAATTGACTATGGGATTAAAATTCGGCATAAAATTTAAAACCTTTAAAGTCAGTTTAATACACAGTGACATTTTTTCGGGAATCATGAATGTTTGTTTAAAGGATAATATTGGTGCCAGTCATTATCACATATGTGATAGGGCTGGTTAAACACATTCCAAATATAATTTTAACACAGAGAACATTGCTACGATAGCTGAGTAATATAAGTTTCCTGAATCGGAAGTGACGAACGCCAAAGGAAAACACGAGCCATCTCTCTATATAACTGACTGATGTGACGAGTGATAACGGATATACGGGCGAATTTCTGCTCACTAATAATTCCCTCGAAGACCAAAAGACCCATTTATCTGGTCTGCCCTCTGTTTGCCGCCCCCCCCCCCCCAATAATTTTAGAAAATAAAAGTATTTGTGATACGTTTCGGTAATCAATACCTTCTACGGTGAATAAATCCCCCCCCCACTCAGTCATAAACTTGCATGTTGTAGAGCATTTCCGACAGTCTATTTTTCAAAATGTTCTTGGCGAAATCCCCAATGGACTCGCTACTTTGGGGCTCACAAGGGGAATTCGTTGAAGTTCGCAAGTCCGTTCGTTTGACATTTTGTTCTCCAGTCGGATAAACTAGTGATCAGGCGACGGACAGTATCTGGTCAGATCGATTTATCTCGACGATCGGTGCCTGACACAATACTGTAAGACAGTATTTCCGACGCTCGTGAATAGGCTTCGTCGTGATTCGCAAGTCCGTTCGTTTGACACTTTACCTCATCGATCAGTGCCTGAAATACTGCCAGGCTATATTTCAGGCAATCTGTTTTTCAAAATTTTCTGGGGGAGGCCCCCTACCCCATTTTGAAGCTCGTGCCTTTGCCCCCTTAACCTTGGACTTTGCCCCAGAGTTTGCCCCTCCAATAACCGACGGCTGGCGCCGCCACTGATTTTATTATTATCTTATTATACATATCTCTCGTCTTTTTTGTGCCATTCGTTTTTATTTTTCATATTTAGCAGCAGGATTTTATTTCATCTTTTTTATCTACCCGAACCTTTCATTTTCAACCACTGTTTATTTGCAATCCATATATTTGAATAAAACTATTTTGTCTTATTTAGACCTTTCAAAGACAGGTCATAAAGTATGGTACTTTTTCGGGTAGTCACCGCTAGGCTATAAATAGACCTCCAATGGCACTGTGTTAAACAACGTTTGTTGTAGTAGTTATTTTCGCATTTTTACTGCAACGAAAATGATGTATGTGCATTTTGTAGGACGAAGTTAAACTAGTTTAAGTGGTTGGTAGCATTACCCCTCGACCAGACATCGTGATAGGACAGAGAATATCGATTTTAAAAAAAGAATGGCAAATAACGAAAACGAATGGCAAATAACGTAAACGAATGGCGAATAACTCTTTGCCATTCGAATGGCGAATATCCTCTGCAGAGGAATAGAAGGTTTTGTATTTCGCAGCTTACAAAATGCAAGTGTGTGTAGAAAAAAAAACCTTTGAAAATAACAGATTTTATTCATAACAATAGTCGGTAAGGACATTATATAATATTTTTATATCAGGATTTGTGCCATTCTTTGACCTTTTTGGGGATAATAGCCTAATCTTCCCGTAGTCAAGGTAGGCTAGCTTACTTTGGGCTTGATGGACGACCCATAAGAAGAAAGTTTATTGGTAAACATAAAAATATTGGTTTTTCATTTTTGTAATTTAGCCTAACAATAAAAAAAAAAGACTTTGCTAAAAAAAAAAAAAAAAAAAAAAAACATTTCAGGGCCAGTGTGTGGCTTGTTTATTTTATTACTCCACAAAGGCCATAACGTCATCAGTTGTGGCGCTATGAGAGTTACAGGGATTCCGTCTACTATTCATTGCTAGAATATTTTTTTTTGTATATGATAGACCTATTTTAATTTTTCATTAATTGGCTTGGAGACGGCACGGCACACCCGTGGAGAGCTAGAATTGTGATTACATAGTGGAAGTTGATACCAAAGTAAATCTACAAAAAAAAAAAAAAAAACGTTTTGTTACATAATTCCCATCCGTCGGCTTTTCGGGTAGAAATCGTGGAGCAAGCTTTATTTTGTAGGTTTTGATGTTTGATGACAAAAAATCAATGTTGACATTTCTTTTGAGTAGGTCTTCATAGTATGGGACGACATTATTTCAAAGGTAACCATTTTGCGACAATATTCCAACTTATATTTTGTTTTCAACTTATTTATAATGTTATCGACATATCAATGTTATCACGCAGATATTTCCAAGATGGCAGCCATTTTTCGGGCATTTCTGACATTTACAACTATGTACCTATTTGGTATATTATCCAACTATATCAGCACATCGTCGCATTTTCCCTCCAAAAATGGTCGACATCTTGGAAATATACAAAATAAGTGAAATATATGTTTTCGGGGTCGCAGATCCCATTTCTGATATTTACAACCATGTACCTATTTGGTATATTATCCAACGATATCAGCACATCGTCGCATTTTCCCGCCAAAAATGGTCGACATCTTGGAAATATACAAAATAAGTGAAATATAGTCACGACCCCTGCTAGTATCAATACATTGCCAAATCACAGTTGATATGTCGATAATATTATAAACAGGGTGAAAATAAAAAATAATTTGGAATATTATCACTAAATGGCTACCCTCAAAATAATGGCCTCGAATACTATGAATACCCGCTCCGAAAAATGTCATTAAACATGTAACCTTCAAAATAAAGCTTATTCCACGATTTCTACCCGAAAGCCGGCGGATGGGAATTATGTAACAAACCGAATCGGACTCTAAATCTGCGTATTGCTGATCCTTTGTCTGGCTTAAAATAACACGATGACAAGCTTACAACCAACTCGCTGGGCCATCGGATGACTCAGATTTTAAGCAGGGCCCTGTTTCTCAAAATCTTAAGGTAAAATCACTAAAATAGATTTTAAATAAAATCAAAATGAAATTTGAAATTGTATTCGTTTTACATAGATCGGTTGTAAACTAAAATGCAATTTAAAGAGATTTTAGTTAAAATTGCTTGCGCCCGCGCAGTGCATATTTCCGATGCGGGAACTTTCGGTGTAAACAAATACGCTTCGAAACCGAAAACGGTTGACAGGTTGAACTGACGGGCACAGTATCAATGGGGAGAGTTTCATACGTTGTAACAATATGGTCAGACAGTAGTAGCGAGGTGAAATAAATGAGTTTATTGCGTATTATTCGTTTATAAATGTATCGGTGGGTTGACCTTAAACTTGGCATTTGATTCGTGACCTTGGCATTTGATTTACTCGCAGGCTTCAATGTAAATAATGTGTATCGATAAACTGCATGTATAATAATTCGCTTGAATTTCCTGGTTTTATGATATTTTGGATAACAGAAACTATTGAGAATTGTCACAAACATATGATATTTGTGACTCAAGCGACTAATCTAGGCTGTAAATTGTTGTCGAATTTTAAAAGTATTTAACAACTTTAAAACTAATGCACCAAACATCCAAGTTAACGATGCCTAGATTTGAAATGTCATCCTATACTGTTTCAAAAATACTTTGAAATTACCAAAGTGCCACACTCCTTATTGGATAATGCATATCTATTTACTCAAGTAAAATGATTTTTTTCCCAAAATAAAATATCTTTGGCTCCTAAAACTTCTCTAATTTATGCTGTGTTATCAACGAAAGCATTCATTAAGAAATGATAATAAATTCATGATATTAAAATTTAATTTCAAATAGACCTATAATATTTTTCAATAAACACATTTGAGATTATTGATTTATCTTTTTACAAGTCATCATAACCCCGAAACCATATGAGTAAATACTTTGCATGTGGGCCTGTGGGCCTTCTAATACCAAGAAATTGGCAATTTTAAACCATTGTAGGCCTACACGAAGATATTTTTTTATAGATAAAAGTGCTCTTCTTTCCATACATTAGATCTGAAGTGAGTTCAGGTTTTGTTTTAGTGGCTTTTTGGGTTTGTTTGTTTTTGTCTATTAATTATTTGAATATAGTATAATTTATATTTGAATCATATGGTAATATATAAAAATGGTATATTGGGGTTTTGGGTGTTATTTTTTTGTTCTTTGGGTTTTAATTTGGAATGCGCGTCATCTAATTGCTAAATTGCATGAGAATTGTTTTTGTGAATAATAGTATGTTAAAATTATGTGACCCGGGCCATTGTCAATATTATCATTATTCCAAATATATCTATATGTCGCAATAGATCTAATAACGTAGATCTAATCAATGTTTGTTATTGTCGTGATTATAAGTTAGGAGAGGGTGACGCCTATCCTAAGTTAAACTTGATTTTAGTTAAAATTGTCCCTAAAATAGTTTTGTGAAACGCCACTATTTTAGGTTAAGATAAAATTTTAACTTAAAATATTATTTTAGTGGATTTTTTCTAAAATGCTTAAAATCGTTTTGTAAAATGCATCTATCTTAAGTTTAAGATGATTTTAAGGAGATTTAAGTTTTTGTGAAAGAGGGCTCTGGGCCCAGATTTACAACACCGCGGCCATTTAAGGTTTAATAATTGTTCTTGATTGGAAAGTACCGTTGTTCTGATAATAAACCATCTGCGCTACATTTTGTTAAAACTTCAAACATTCATAACTTCGAACAAAATAAAGTAATTTGACTGAAATTTCCAATATAATCGTTTATCATTATAAATTTTAAAACTATTATAGCAAGAACGACGAGTTCTTTATCTAAAACTTACATAATAAATCTTTAACACAACGTAACATGACATATCCCAGATACTGGTCGATGTCTTGCTGTGTAATGATGGATCTGATAAAATAAATTTGCTAATCAAACCAATGTGGAAATAAAACGGTTTTGAATACTTTGACATCATACCGCACAGTATTTTTATTTAAAATTTTTAACTAAAGTTATGGTTGGTTTCTACTGAATTCAAACCGCGTAAGATGTAGGCCCGCTAACCTGGAGGTGCCGTGTTTATCCCGGTGTTGCACACTGATCAACAGTGAATTTTCGCTAGGCCACTACAATCACTCTGATAAGGATGACATCGATGCGACTGAATGAGTCCCAAATATTAACTTTTTTCTTCCGTCAAATTAAATTCTAAAACATTTTTTTCATTTATTAGAAAAATAAATAAAGACGTTTGAATTGAAAAGCATTTCGTATTTATTGTAAATGGGTATTAAAATAAGTAAAATTCACCATTTAGCCCGAATGAGTAACGTATGTAAACAATGCACGCGCTATTGAGCCAATGATTGACGCCGCGTGATGTGACGCCACGTGTCGAAACAGTCATCCGTTACAGAGATATTAAAAGATCTCTGTGAAACAGATTGCCGGTGTTGGTCTAGAAAGTTAATCGAGTTTCTCCGGCGTGCCCCCCCCCCCATCAATATATGTGGTACAGGACAGAGGGCCTGGCAAGGGACAACGTATAGTTTTTCGGATGGGACGAAAACCGAGGTCCCTTGTACACATTGGCGTGTACGTAAAACATTCTTTATCTGTCTTATTAACAAATGTAGTAATAATATGTGTACTTTTATTTTCGTGAAAGTCAGTCCTTTAAGGTGTTTTTGAAATAATATGGTATAAAGTGGGGGATATAGAATGGTTATAATGGATTCTAGTAATTAAAAGCCCAATACAGCAGAACGCCCAATTAAATTTTTAATTATTTAAATTGAATGTTGAAACTGGGCGTTATACAAGAACGGACCGTGAAAATAGAATTTGTACATGCTGCACATCGAACGCTGTCGAAGACGAATACCACTTTCTCCTCTGTTGCCCAGCATATATAAATTTACGTCGCAAGTTCTTTCATCGCAGATTTTGGTCCTTTCCTTCTTTACATAAATTCAAAAATATTTTAACGAACACCAAACATAAACATATAATCTATTTAGGAAAATATCTATATCAAAGTATGAAATTACGTAATCCATTATTAAACACCCAAAAATGAAACTAAACACCTATTGGGAACTTTTTTGTATATACTGTTGTACTATCTTCATGACATGTTTATATTATTATATATATTATTTTATTTTTATATTACGTTCCTTATATTCCTTATCTGTTGTGCAATAATCACCAAATATATTCTATGTACTTATGTTGGCTATAGCAAGTGATTTGCTTTGCCTTGAAATAAAGAAAGATATTTAAAGATGCATTCCCACAAAAGTATTGATAGTTTAATTATTTCTAAAAGTATAAGTAGAGCATATTTGAAGAAACCCAATCTTTATAGAAAAATATAGGATTCCCTTTTAAAAAAACCCAAACTTATGGGGCACATGTCTGCTTTTCGTATGTGTTGATCTAATGACTTAAAAGTCGAGTAGACTCTTCGATTAAACCCCGGAAAAAAATGTTGGCAGGGGATAATCCAACTAGAAGTTAACAACGGATTTTCCCTCAATCAAGTCATGTGACAAACCAGTCTGCTTAAAACAGTTTCTTGTAGCATTAGGTAGTTTTCTTGCGATTAGGTGTTTTGAGAGAAATTTGAAGCAAACGTTTCATAGATAAATTTGTTTGAATATATCATCAAATCACAAAGTTTGTACTCGACATCATTAATCTTATACCAATAATACAAGATATAAAAAAAACCTATTATTCACGAAAACTGAAACGAATATATTTTAAAAACACAAACTTTCTCATTGACTTAAAACTGAAATTTATACTAGGATTTGAACCATCGACCAATGAAAATGTCGCATTCTTAAACTATATTAGGTTTAATTTCCGTAAACTATACCTCTGTCGCAATACCTCAATGGAACGATTTGAAAGATGGGTGGACACGTTTATGTTTCAGTGTGACTATAGTTTTATAGATTTGGAGTAATATTCATCTTCAATATCTCTCAGTACAAATTAGCTCGATATTAGTTCCACATTTGTACGAAGACATATTTAATCTTCTTATGAGATAAGTTTATTTTAACTTTGATTTCAGATTGAATTGAATAAAGATGATGAATTCTGGGACACAGGAATCTATAAGAGGAAGACCGAAAAACAATCAACTAGGCGGAGTCAGTTCGGCAGAAGACGAGAACCAAAGAAACCATAAAGCAGGCGACGTTGTACATGCCAAAGATGGAAACAAAACGATTGGCACTGTGATGAGAAATGTACAGACTGAAAGAACTGATGGAGTCTCTGAAAAAGAAAGATACAATTCATCAACCAGGTCGATAGAAAACAACCAAACTCAAAACGACAATACTACTAAAAAAGTAGTTTATTTCACAAATAATAAAGTGAAGTTCTGTATTGTTGATCATAAAACGTTTGAATTACGACGTAGAAAATTTAACGGTAGAATTATGACGTTTATGTTCCTCTTGTGAAAAAGCCAAGAAAAAAACGACCAAAAAAGAATAGTAAGTTAATTGAATTATAGGAGATTTTCATGATTAACTCATTATTTTATGTTTGGCAAGATAAGCTGATTAGAATAATTTGGAATGTATGTTAATCATAAATAATTATAATATTTTGTATTAAAACAAATTATTGTGAATAGGAAATTTTCAGTTATCCGCATACATAAGTTGCAATGTGAGGAAACGCTGTGTGACAGAGCAAACGAACTGGGTGAAGCAGAAGAAATGTTTGGCGATAAGACGGAAGCCGTGATTAAAACTCAAACGAAAATCCAAGAATTTAAATCAAATACAGAACTAAATGATGAAATCATAGAATCAAATACAGAACTAAATGATGAAATCACAGAATTAAATACAGAACAAAATAATAAAATTACAGAATCAAATACAGAACTAAATGATGAAATCACAGAATTAAATACAGAACTAAATAATAAAATCACAGAATCAAATACAGAACGAAATGATGAAATCACAGAATCAAATACAGAACTAAATGATGAAATCATAGAATCAAAAAAAAAAGAATTATATGATGAAATTATAGATTCAAATACAGAACTAAATGATGAAATTAAAGAATCAAATACAGAACGAAATGATGAAATGAAAGAATCAAATACAGAACTAAATGATGAAATCATAGAATCAAGAAAAGAACTACATGATGAAATTATAGATTCAAATACAGAACTAAATGATGAAATTAAAGAATCAAAAACAAAACGAAATTATGAAGTATTTGTACTTGAAAATGGCGCAGACGGGCTTGAGTCAAAAGTAGGAGAAATTGAAACTTGGAATAGACCGGAAATGGAGACATCAGATAGGATGATAAATGAAAAAAGAAGAGTGGGGCACAAGGCTGATGGTATTGAAATGGTTGGTATTTTAAGTGAAAGAGAAATTGAGGCAATGAAAACTAGAGTTGTTGAAAATAAGACAGAGAATGGATATAGATTTGTCCGAGTTTTACGAAGAATATAGGAAAAGGACTAAGAACAAGAAGAATGGTGAAGATTTTCATAAATATAATATTATATTAACTTTATTAATGTATATTAATTATTACTCCTTCACCATTATATAAATAATGGTTCCCGAATATAGTTTTGTCTATACTTATATAAGTATATAATATTCTTAAACATGCATTATGCAAGAGCAAAATCTGCTTATTACAAGTCTTTCTTTAGGCCTGAAATGTTATCTAAATTATCAATTAGACATTAATTAACTTATCCAGACCATAATAAACTCTCGACGTCAAGGCTAGCCATCGATGTTGGCTGGATTAGATTCCTATATGCCGCTTAACGGCCATTGATAATTAAATCAAAACAGTGGATAATCGAGACTATGCTGTTTATATTAATGATTTTAGTAATAATGACCGACACTATGCGAAAATTTCACCCGCTTCGTTCTCGGCTCTTACACTGTTAAAAATGGGTGTAATTAAAAACTATAAGCAGTGTTAATTAAGTGTAAACTTAACACCACAGCTAGCTTTGTTTAAATGCAATACCTTTTCAAGGGTAACCGACTAAAAGAACTACACCTAACAAGTGTAACCGATATTCATGACTACTGAACACCTGAATAGGTGTAATTGTGGCGTGTTTTGGATAAGCTACACCACTACATGTGTTATACTCCATTTACCCCAAAGGTTGTAACTATTATTGGGGAATAAATCAAAGTGTAATCGATATTCATGAGTACTGAACACCAGGATAGGTGTAATTGTAGCCGCTTATTGGTGTTTGGTTTGAGCTACCCCTATACAAGCGTTACATTGCATTTACACCAACAGGTGTAATTATTTTAGGGAAACATTCCTACGAATAAGATGCGTTACAAAAATATTTGTGTACTCCAATTTAAGTGTTTGGTTTTTTTGTAAAATATGGCTTTAATTGCACTAGTAACACAACTATAACTCATTTTAGAGTGTTTACTCATAACGAGTAAAGTATAGATTATTTTAGCTTGTATACACTTAAAGACGTGTAAATGTTCCAAAATATTACTAAGTACAAAATCTTAATTAATAATTCTTGATTCAGGTGAGGTGCATAAATAAATAAACCACATTATTCAGCCAAGATGTAAGGATATGTGCATTGATTTTTCCTCATGATTTATATTCATTGTAATTTGAGCAGATTGTCTAATTGCCCAACAGCAGTTGAATTTGAATCAGTCTGATGGGTATTTGTCAATTTAATGTCATTGTAAAATGAAACACAGTTACCGACGGTCTATATGTAATCTATGTCGGGCTAATTATCATGGAGACCAACAGCCAATTTCAAGTTTTCTGAACTTAGAAGTCGTTGGCTTGAAATAAATATCCAACAAAACAAATTACACCCGTGTTGGTGTAATGATTAAAATGGAAGTGTAATTTACAAACCATCCTTGAGGGGATAATGCTTAATCTACACCCACGGGTGTAAACTATTTATATGTAACATTACACTGTCTGAGTGCATCAGGCAGGTTACACTACTGGAAGTGGCAACTAGTTTACACCCGAATTGGTGTAATGTTCTGCACTAGTTAGGTGTTATCGGTTTACACCACTAAAGGCTAGGAGTTACCCCTATTTAGGTGGCAACTAGTTGCCACCCGAATTGGTGTAAACTTCCTTATTATTTTTAACTGTGTAGTGGATCAATTTGAGCAAATTACCTTTACACTATCTAGTTTTTAACTATTATGGCGAGAACTGCCATCTCTTTATCTTATCTCCCATAATGTATCTTTAAGCAAAATAAGGTTTTATATAATATTAAAATGTATACAAAATGATTAATATTATTTATGATGAAAATGTAATGGTTTGTGAGTACATTTCTCCTAATAAATAACATTGTATTATTTTATTAAAAGATGCATTATGTAAGAGCTAAATCTGCCCATTGCAGATCTTTCTTTTGGCCTCAAATATATAAAACTTATTAATTAGGCATTTATTCACAAGACAATCTAATAATTAACTCTCCAGATCATCGGGTGGTCATGATTCCAATGGACTGAAACAATAGTTTAATTTAAAATGGATAATCGAGACTTTGTTTATTATCATAATACGCCTTTTGCTTTCTCCCACCTTTTCTTGGATATAACTAAATAAATAGAAATTAAATGTGAAGCATTGTCGCCTGACAAATAGTAATTAACAGAAAGCTGAAGGTAAATATAGAGATAGATATACGCAATTAAACAAATATATGTCGAACAAAGTGATAATATCGTTCAATTAAAATGAGCGATCAGCTTTGTTACCTAGGTCACCATATACATGGTCATTTATTCTGAAGAACTCAGATAATCTTTCCTCTAATGCATTGATAAATACGGCTAAATATTTTCGTCAATCTGATTTAAATAAAGATCTACAATTTACTTCGTCTGTATATACTTTCCATGACCTATAACTATATATAATAAAAATACGAAACCATTTTTTTATTATTTTTTTTTTTTTACTTTTCCAAGTCTTGTAGACTTTATCAAACATTATGTATGACGAATAATTGTTTCTTAAAATGTAATTATTTCCTTTCAATATGAACAGTTCATACTACACATACTATGTAAATTAATTGTAATTAGATGTTTTTGAAGGGAGAGTGGTTTAGTTTAAACAATATTTTATATATTTGAAAAGGATTGAACAGACAACTTATAAGTTCTTTTCTGGGGAGAGGGGTGATATGGACTTAGTCTGTTCCCAAAGCCTATTCTTCTGAAATTAAAGGACAATATTGGTGTCAGTCATATTATTACATATGTGATAGAACTGGTTAAACACGTTCCAAATATAATTTTAATACAGATTTCATTGCTACGATAGGTGCGTTATGAAGCTTTCAAGAAAGGGAAGTGACGAACGCAAAAGGAAAACACGAGTTATCCTTCTATATAACTGACTGAAGTGACGAGCAATAACAGATACGCACGGGCGAGTTTCTTCTCACTAATAATTCCTTCGAAGACCAAAAGTTGTTTTGTGGGTCTGTGAGAGGATATCTGATAATTCAAAAATGTAATTGAATGTCACTAGATAAGGGAAAACGAGAAAAATAGAAATAGTCCGTACATTGCCTTGATTTTATTCATTCTATACTTAATATATTCCACACTGTTTGCATGCTCATAGCGCATGGGAAGAGTTCAGTTCTCTACAATTCAAGCAATACAACACAACACTAAACATAGCAATGAAACATAAGATTTCAGTGACCATTTGAATGTTAATAGGATGGACATTGTTTCAAGTAAGTAGGAAGTTTATTCCAATGAGAAGCTGTCAGATATGAAAATAATTTTGGGCCAAATGTTTTTAAATTGTAAGATGGAAATTGTAACTGAAAATTATTTCTTGATTGAAGTTTTCTAGTGGGTAAATGTTCCTAAACAATTTCTTGGAGATACACAGGTGCTGTTTTGTGAACTGCCTGATACGTTAAATACAATAAATTAAATTCAATACGTTCATTGATACGAAGAAAAACTTAAGATCCCGAAATAACCATTGCGGATGAATTTTGTATCCGTTGAAGGCATTTTAGTTGTTTTGAGGTTATTCTAAATAACAAACTATTACAGCAGTCTAGAAGGCACGGTGCGAGAGTTTCTGCAGCACCCGCTGTTATAAAATGGTGTATATCTTCCAAATGTGGTAATAACATGTTTTGCAAAGAAAAGTAATATTATTATGAGTTTCCTTGATAAGTTTGTGTCCATGACGACAACAAGACTTTTCACAGAATTTGAAAGATTACCATCCTCCATTGTCAAATGCGTCATATTCACTCTTTTAAGTCTGCTGTTTTGTATGAGTTAAGTTTGAGCAGATTGATTGTCATCATGCTTTTTATAAATGTTTCCATTTTCGTACAAAACAACTGACTCTTTTTTTCTTGGGAGAAGAAATTAATGATGGTAAAGGTCCTTTTGCACGAGCAGTTTACAAAGTGGTTTAGTGTACATGTAAAAAAATGGGCCATCCAATACCGATTCTTTGGGAACGCACCGGGATGGGTGATTCTGTCATAGAAAGATTTTTTCCATCACTGCCTGTCTTCTACCAATAAGATATAACGAACCAATATAGATCCTTTTTCATGAGTAGATTACCAAGTGGTTTAGTTTCCATGCAAAATAAAATTGGTCCCAATACCGATTCTTTGGGAACGCCACGGGTATGAGTGATCCTGTCAGAGGTTCCCAACACCAAATTTGAAAAGAATCTGTTGAAACCTTTAGCCTCTATCGCGTTTACAATGTTCTCGGCAAAGGGGTGATAACTCCCGAACGGAAAATCGAAGAACAGTAAATTTGAAAAGAATGCGCTAAAAACTCTAGCCTCTATCGCGTTCATATGCTTTTCGACAAACTCGAGCACCGAAAGCCGTGGAGCACCTGTATATCGACAGGGTTCGTCCTCGTCCTCTGCTTCCCACCAGATTTGAAACGCATCCATTAAAAACTACAGTGTCGGTCGCGTTCACAAGATTTTTTTTAAAAAAGGGGATAACTCCGGAACGGAAAGTCCTGTAACGATGAAAATCGATAGGGTTTATCCCCTCATGACCACAAAGCTTGCAACAAAATTTGAAAAACAGACGTTAAAAATTACAGAATCTATCGCGTTCACATGGTTTTCGGAAAGAATTCGTTAAAAGAATCAGTCAAAACATGTAGCCTCTCGCATTCTTAAGTCAATTGTGGACGGACGGACCGACGGACAGGGTGACAACATAATAGTCCAAACTGAAATGTTTGCGTATACAAATTAATGTAAATCTTACCTATTTTTATCAACTTGCTGTAACTTTGAACGTCAAGATGAAATGACGTCAGCAATATCCATACAAATGACGCAGTGGTAAGCATGTCTAATTAGGCTATAACCGGACCTGTGTCCTAAATACATAACGAGGGCCTTGTAAATTGTCTGGCTTTGTCATTCCTTGTAATACATGTGTTATGTGGACAGGGCGATATTTGGCGTTGATTTGTTATTTTATCTATAAAAAAAAATCAAATATTATATTTATTAAAATTGTGAATTACAATTTTTAAGAAGAACTGTTATACCTGTTAGGATTACCATAACCTGCAATCTAATTACTAATATCTTCACTACTAGTGGAGGTCATCGAAATTAAAAAAAAAAACGAAACAAAATATAGATCTGTATTGTAATCAGATTGCTTTAACCAGTTTTTTACGCTTGACATGACAATGGGAGAACATTTGTGTTTCTCTTATTCTCCCAGATAAAAGTCGAGAAAATCGATATTACACTACCATATATTCCCCGAATATAATACACATTCTTGAACTAGAAATAACATTGACTTAAGCCGAAATAATAATACTCAGACATCCATATCAGGTTGAAGTGAAAAAAGTCTCCATTGCAGAAATTGTAGTAAAATACGTACTATAATGGGTAATTTCAGAAAATAAACAATATTTATAAAAATTTGTGTTTTTTATAAAATGGTATCTATGTGTATCTACCATCCAATCCATTATGCATAAATTCAATATGGCACGAATACCATGATGATATAATTACTGTAAAACATGTGATTTTATAGCCTTGATCAATAGGAACCGTCACAATCACAGAGTACAGAATAACTATATATATATATATAAGAAAACAGCCCAGAAATAAGGGCTGAAAAGTTCTCTTCGGATTATCAGAGCCAGAATGAGTTATTCGTCAGTTGTTAGCTGTCGAGCTAAAAATCAGGAGAAAGCAATGTGATCTGTAGATGGCCATAACTTATGATTGGTGAATTGGTCAGCCTACTTGTAATGTCTAGGGCGTGAAAAACTACATTTGCCATTTGGTCTGGAATGTTCGAGCTTTAAAAAAATTGGTCAAAAATACAATCTCACGTTGAATTTGTATATAAGCTTATTCTTAATAACAAGTATGACAGCATTATGGACTAGGAACTGAAAATAACGTCCTCGTCGCCATCTTGGAATTGCGACATCATATCAAAATGCAAAGTCCGTCTAGTGATGTGCAGTTGTCCAAGGAACTTCCGTGCCATGTTTCACGTCGAACGTACCTGATTTAGCAGGGTATTAGGCTTTTTCGCAGAGCGCCCTCCCAAGAACAACAATGGATTTGCCCATACAACATAATATTTTTGCTCTAGACATTGTACACATTTAAAAATATTTCTTAGAAAAGAGGAAGACAAATGTTTAAGGTAAAAGCACCATAGAAATAGTTATAATATATAGTTACCTAACATTAACATCAACGTGTATATCCGTCATCCCGATTACTAAAAAACCTTTTAGATGCGTAATTATCGAATGGAAAGTTTCAGACGTGTTGAATTGATGTGAATACTAATGCTTACTGTATAAATAATCAATATCCGCTTTCCTCAATATCATACGGTACACTAAATAATACTATATCAACAAACACGGCATAAAATATTATGTTCTTTAATATTGTCAGCCAAAAAGTGAATTTATAGAATGTCATACAGAAGGTTAAAATGTGAAGGCTTTTGGGAACCGGTATCAATAAAACCTTGAAAACGCTCTATGCCTCAATGAGAATGATCTGTTGACGATCGCTTTAAAAACGCGCCACATGTCAGTTCTCTATAACACAAAAATCGAATTCAAAATGCCTTGACGATGCAGACATTTGGTATAAAATGTGGCCTTTTAAAGCTAGGGTCAGTACAAATCGTACAGTTCTATGGAAGAAGTAAAGATGCCATGGCTGGGTGAATGAGTAAATAGACAGCTGTCGCCCGAAAATTTCGTTGCCACGGTGCCATCTACTGCTACTGATACTACAGCTATATGGGTTCATCAGAAGAGCTGACATTGTTCATCGTCCACTGCGAGCCAGACGACCTTACGTTGGACCAGCACTGTTACTGAGAATTTATTTTATCCCGTGTACCAACGTTTCACTAGTTTAAACTAAAGTTGATATGACCCCCGTAATTCTAGCCTACAAACATTCCAAAATCACGTTTCAAATCCGTGGTGCGTCTCAATAATGATAGAAATTTTTCAAAAAGAGATAAAAATGTCAATCGATGTAGATATTCTGGCGTATAGACAGCTGCGTGCCACTCGTATCAGACAATCATTACGTAAAGAGGCTAAAATTATTTGATAAACACGCTCGTCTTAAACTGTCATAATTTTACCATGCTCAATATATAATAACTGCAACGTGAAATCAGGTCCAATAGAAATAATATACTTTTACCACGGAGCAAAGTGCTTAGATTTTTTAAATAATAAGATGAACTTGAAATATAATTCCACGAGAAATGGGGCCCGGACTAATGATCTAACCTTACAACTAGAAGGATGGGAGGACTACTGATCATGATTATGATTTCTAATGTCAAATTATCAATGTTGAACTCAATAAAAACTAATATGGTGTCTGAAGCAATATTTACACAAGACATTGCTTTAAACATTACAGCCGAGAGGTGCAACTTGACCTAGATCAGTTCAATTATAATATTGATAAGAGAACTTTAGGTCAGTTTGTTTGAAATCTTAATATTTAGATCATGAAGTTGTTATTTTGGGTATATTTTCACAGATGATATATTCCTCCAAATACAACCCAAATGAGTGTTATTAGGTGTTCTGGAATGAGTAAGCTTACCCTGTCCAGACACGACCCCGGTGGTTATTTGTAACCAACTGGATTGTTTGGACCTAGATTTTTTAAACCAAAGCTACTAGATATATGTTATATAAGCTGTTTAAGACAAGGAAAGTGTGCGAAAATCCATAATCACCTGGGAACGTTTGGAAAAAAGTGGAATAATAATTAATTTAAATCCATGGACATCGAGGTTCAGGTTGCATAACATAAATAGATCACTATTTAAAAATAGTAACATTTAGAAATAATCTTTCAGCCCTTACTTTTGTTAAAATTAAATATGGAAAATTATGACTAACGCTTAAGTTCAACTCCAGTACAATGAGTTTGCATTAACAGGTAACAAACATGTTTAACAAAGAATGTCTGGTCCATTCATTGATTTGCATTCCCCATTAATGTTTCACAAATATAGCAGTATTAGTGTTTACCATGATATACATATTCATATTGTATTATATGTAAACAAACTTCAATCAACTTCAATTTATCAGCAAATAATTTGATAGAAGCAAATGTCGATTCATTTTGTCCTCATTATAAAACGTTTAATATGCTAACGTCAAAACTATACAAACCGGATCTCCAACACATTTAAAACTAGTAGTGGCGTCGTTCTTAAAAGTCTGTATGCGGTTAGTCTAACCGCTCAGTAAAGAGTATCCGTTCTTAAATTCTATTGAATACTTGTTAATTCTAATGAATACCTGTTCATTCTAATGAATACTAAGCCCTTTTCAACATTTTTTATGCTAATGAATACGATTTCATTCTAAGGAATACTATTTCATTCTAAGGAATACTATTTCATTCTAATAAATACTATTTCGACTCTAAAGAATATTTGTTTATGATATACTATTTCTCTTACGGCATGACTACATTTGTATAAACGTAAGTTATTAGCGTTTCGAAATTTGTGTCATACTTTTCTAGACACATGTTAGTAATTCACAATTGAGTATTTTGACTTTTTAGCAGTTTTTAAAACCAAATACACAATATCATGTTATACACTAAACGTAAACATCGAAGAATTTGCTGTAGCCAGACAGAATTGACTTCCTGCTGTTGACTCGTAAGCCTTCCTTGGCTAACAGTTCGATTGTAGGCCTAAATTTGTATTAGCGTTAAGGTTATGTAATCAGCTATCAATTAAGGCACCGGCAACTATTGTTTAATAGGATTTGCATGTATGACAGACATTAAGCATTGTCCATAAAATTATGATTAGATGAAGATAGATAAGATAAATTCCATGCGATAATAAAACCTGGGGTAACAACACTCACAAACACCATGGTAACTTTTTTGATGATAACTGGATGATAACAGTGCATACTTATGGGTAAATCGTCAAACAATCTATACTAGAGTAAAATAGGTCAATTACATGTCGTTTATTATGAGGTAAGATATCAGTTAACTTTTGAACGCTCACAGAGTTTAGTGTGATGACTGATTGGTATCATTTCGTGGTGTCGTGATGTCGACTCTTATAAGGCAAAAAACCGTCGTGTTGTCGAGTAAAAATGTCGTGATGTCGGGTTGTCGCCTTATCAAGGTCGACATGACGTCATTACATTATGCCAATCAGTGTGATGTCGGGTTGTGGGGTTGTCGCTATTTATAAGCAACCATGCCCATCTTAATATTATTAGGATTATGTACACTGCTCCTGGTGTTGGTCAAGAAAGTCCCCCGGGATTTTGCTGCGTGGTTTCTCTCTTTTTTGAAGAGTATATTTACGCTATCTACTATTAAAACTAAACCCCAACCTAACCAATTGTTAATTTCTGCTGGTTGCGAAAGCAACGCATTTACTTATTAATAATTCAGTCAATAGCACGTTGGACCAGCACTGTTACTGAGAATTTATTTTATCCCGTGTACCAACGTTTCACTAGTTTAAACTAAAGTTGATATGACCCCCGTAATTCTAGCCTACAAACATTCCAAAATCACGTTTCAAATCCGTGGTGCGTCTCAATAATGATAGAAATTTTTCAAAAAGAGATAAAAATGTCAATCGATGTAGATATTCTGGCGTATAGACAGCTGCGTGCCACTCGTATCAGACAATCATTACGTAAAGAGGCTAAAATTATTTGATAAACACGCTCGTCTTAAACTGTCATAATTTTACCATGCTCAATATATAATAACTGCAACGTGAAATCAGGTCCAATAGAAATAATATACTTTTACCACGGAGCAAAGTGCTTAGATTTTTTAAATAATAAGATGAACTTGAAATATAATTCCACGAGAAATGGGGCCCGGACTAATGATCTAACCTTACAACTAGAAGGATGGGAGGACTACTGATCATGATTATGA